GACACGGTACGAAAAAGGTATCCATTAGCATATAGATTTCATGCCCCTTAGTTGTCGCTCTTCTTGACCTCGGGCGCCTTCTCAGCCTCGACCATGTCGCCGACCTGGGCCTTCTCGACACCGTCCAGGGTCTTGGTGGCGGCCTGCCTGGCGGCCTCCATCTCGCGCTCCTCCTTCTCGTCAATGTTCTCGACGTCGCGCGGGGTGGCCAGGCCCGTCTCGGCGTTCTCCTGGTTCTGCTCGTTCTCCTCCTCGATCAGCTCCTGCTGCTCCTTGAGCACCTCGAGCCGCTGCTTGTTGGTGGCCGCCCCCTCGGCGTTGTGCACCTCCAGCTCGATCTCGTGGTAGAGCTCCTCGGGGATGGACGAGAGCACGCCCGTCAGCGCGTCGATCTGGCCGCTGGCCTCGCCCTCGCCCGCGGCCGCCTGGGCGTACGAGTAGGCGCTGCTCAGCACCAGGAGCGTCGACGGGACGCCGTCGCGCAGCCGCAGATCCAGCCACGTCTGCAGGTCCTCGCGCATGCGGGCCGGCGACACGCCAAACGTCTTGATGCCGCGGCTGGCGCACGCCACCTGCAGCTCCGACGTGGTCAGGCTGTCGACGCCCTCGAACGAGATGGACCGGTCGTCGCGCTTGATCTGGCGCATGCGGTGGCGGATCTGGTAGCGGAGCATCATGTCGGTGCCAAACGTGTTGAGGTTCAGGTACCGGCACATGGACACCAGCTGCGGGCGCGACAGGTTGTCGAGCGTCAGGTCGTCGCGGAAGATCTTGCACACCCTGATGACGTCCTCGGCCGTCGGCTTCTCGGCCGTGGCCCGGAGCTTGCGGAAGAAGTTTGCGAACTCCTCGCGCTGCGCCGTGGCCGCCGTCACGGGCAGGCCCGTCTCCTTGAGCGTCTGGCGCAGGAACTCGCTAACCTCGGCACGCGTGACCCGCAACATGGTCGCCTTCTTGTCCTTCGACTTCTGGCCCTCATATGTACTGGGCAGCATGTTGGGGAACAGCTTGAGCGCCACGGGCAGCAGCAGCTCGGCGAAGGGCACGATGACGAACATGGAGAAGGGCACCAGACGCCCGAGGTCCTGCACTGTGCGCTGCAGCTGCCGGCTCTCGCGGCGTGTGAGCTCGTACCCGGCCGCCATCTTGAAGGCCAGGCGGCTGCTGATCTTGACCTCGGTCGCCAGCAGCTTGGTGCCGTCCCAGTAGTGCATCACCTCCTTCTTGATCTTTTGGCCCAGCGACAGCTTCTTCTCCTCCTTTTTGGGCTCGTCCTTCTTCTCCATCTCCAGGGACTTTTCGGTCGCTAGCTTGGAAAGTGACGTGGTCTCGGCGGCGGCTCCCTTTACGCTCACGGTGGGGACGCCCTTTCTTTGCGTCTCTGCGGCATCTGAAGCCTTGGCCTTGGCCTCTCCCTTGGCTGTCGGAGTCTGGTTGTCGGCCCGTGGAAGAGGGTTCTTAGCCTTCTTGGGGTCGAATCCGGGTGGCGGGCCTGAGGGGATGCCCCTGCCGGCGTGGGTCTCGGTGGACAGGCTTCGCAGGGGAATGAATAGGGCGATGGCCGAGTTCTGCAGAGCGAGGTTGCGGGAGTGTCTTCCGAGGTGCGCCTGGGAGGCTCTGAGGACCGATCGAGGGAGTGCACGGCCTGGTCAAGGCGGCGGGGCACGGCATGTCAGCGGTTGGAGTCAGTTGAAGGGCTCGAGGACAAAACCGTACCGCTTGCCATGAACGGGTTCATGGCTATGGAGCGGCGGGCGACCGCCGCGGAGGCGCTCATGGCGACGGCGAGGACGGGGGTGAATGGAGAGGTGAGGCGATGTGGGAGGCCAAGGGTTGTATCGGGTTGTGTCTGGCGGGGAAAATCAAATGATGATGGTTGTGGTTGTGGTTGTGGTTGTGGTTGTTGTGGCGGTGGTTATGGTTGACAGGAGTGAAGGAGAGAGAAAGCACGAGCGAGCAAGGACGACGGGTTTGGACCACGGGTGGACGATGTATCTTGACATGGACGATGCGCCAACGTCAGTCAGTAAGTGCCTCGTACATGGAATAATGAAAAAAAGTTCAGGCACTTCGGTTGTCTCTGCACCATGCATGCATGCGGGCCTGGGCCTGGAACTTGGGTACTTGGGCTTGGGCAAGTCAGGTCCATCGAGGCCAGTTACAACGCTACTTTCAGGGGTGAGGCTCGGCTCTCTGATAGGATGAACCGTGTCTAGCTCTGCGGCGAGCCTGGCACATCACGTGATGAGCCTTGTTTCGCCTCAGGCTGCGGGCCACTCGAGCCCCCCATTCCGGCGGGTTCTGTATTCCGGCGGGGCCGCTGGCCAACGCATTCCTCCACCGACTGCCACCGACTACCACGGGCCCGTCCCAGTGTGGGCGTCTTGCTGGTCGAGTTCAGGCAAGGTCTCTGTTGCTCGTTGACAGTGTGCTGGCACGGCTGGGCAGCAGTTGGCTGCGAGGCTGCCTTGGAGGTGCGTTTTGGCGATGCATTCCCCTCACACTACTCCCTACCTAGGCACTAGGGCTGCTAACCCCGGACTTTCCGTACAGGTCGATAAAGCCGAGGGTGCCGAACTACCACTGGCTGTGCTTGTGCGGGTGGTGGCGGCTTGATGGCCTGCTCTGCTCAATAGCTGGCTCTCCAGACATTTCGTCAGACGCGGGTCAGGGTGGGACCGGAATCCCGACCAGTCAGCAAGCCCGTCTCTCTCGAGGGCACCGCTGAAACCTTCTGACAGGCCGACACATGGCCGTCGGCCGGTCCAAGTGCAGCGCAGTGCCACGCACGTGAAGTGGGTTGAGCCACATGTCGGAACCCCTCTCGCGGGGTGCTTGCACTGCTTGCTGGAGGAACAGCATCACCTCACAGCTGCTGTTGTGCATTGATGTCTAGCAAGCGCATCACTGCACATGATCATGCCTACCGCTGTGCTTGTCTACCTACTGCCTGTACTAGCAAAGCATAAAAAACCAAGGCAGCAGTGGGCAGACAACCAGACGAGGATCGAGACAATGCAATCGAAATCCAGTCTCCCTCAATCCAATCCTCAACAAAAAAAAAGTAAGCAGGCCGCCAGCACAGTCCAGCCAACAGACGCGCACGCACTGTGGCACTGTGACGCCACCTACACAATAGACCGAAGCCGGGCCCTTTCCGAGCAAGGCGCGGGCGGGCGGATGATGCAGCACACGCATGCACTTGTGGAGGCCATTTGTGACCTCGCATTGGGCCAACACAAAGTAGCCCCCGGTCGGTCCGAGTCCCAGTCCACTGGCTCGTGTCTCTTTTTGTGCCGCCCCCCCTCCCCGCCTTTGCGGGCATGTGGAGGCTGCCGACGGATGGTGCCATTTGAAGCAGAAGAAAAAAAGCACTTGATCCTCTTTGTGCTGTGTGTGATCGATCCCCGTCGGCTTTTGTCGTTCTAGTTGCTTGCTTGTGCTCCAACGCCCGGACCGTTACACCGCCGTTGGCACCTCAATTGACACCTACAGTTGGGATTGAGGAGGACGTTGAACGCCGGCTTTTTTGAGTCTTGCAGGGGGGGTTGTCCGAGCCTGGCCCGCGTGCTTGGGGAAAGCTTGCCTCATTTCCCCCCTCTCTCCCTCCGAGCTCCGGCAAATAAAATAAAATAAAACACCAAGAAAATAAAAATAAGAGGAGGGGGGCCTGCTTCGACATGGACTCGTCCTGACAGAGTCAGTTCCAACCGTTTCTTCTCGCCCCGGCTCTTTCGAGGGCCACCCGGATCGCCCGTTTCCACTTGCGATTCTCTCTTTACGACACCCCCCTCGGTCGCCATCCAGTGTTTCCCCCATTCGGGATTCTTTGTCAAGACAGGACTTGACAGCGCATCCCGAGTCTCGGCCGTCCGCGCCCCCGTCCTTATTGGCTGGGGGAAAATAAAAAGCCCCTTTGCTGGCGCTTTTTTTTTTTTGCGTAACATGCGCCTCCGAAGGGCCGCCCGCGTCATTCTAGTCGGTGCGCCCGGGGTCGGCAAGGGCACGCAGTCGGAGCGGCTGCTCCAGCGCTTCCCCGAGCTGTCCTCCATCAGCTCGGGCGACCTGCTGCGCAACAATGTCAAGAGCAGGACGCCGCTCGGTGAGTGCTGCTTTCCGTCTCGGACAATACAATAACGACATCTCAACTGGAAACGTACACTAACACCATATCCCACCTCCCCATAGGCATCAAGGTCGAGAGCACCATGAAGGCCGGCGGCCTCGTGTCGGACGACCTGATCCTGCGCCTCATCAGCAACGAGTTCAACAAGCGCGGCTGGCTCTTCGCCGACGGCGGCCGCCAGGCCAGCATCCTGACCCTCGCCTCCGCCTCCGCCTCTGCCGCAGCCGCCGCCGCCCCCACCCCGGCCGTCGACGACGTCTTCATGTCCGCGCCCGCCGGCCTCTCCTCGAACCCGCCGCCGCGCCTGTCGGACGACCCGGCCGCGTCCTTCATCCTCGACGGCTTCCCGCGCACGGCCGCGCAGGCCGCCCGCCTCGACCACGTCGTGCCCGTGAACCTGGTCGTGTCGCTCCGCACCCCGCTCGACGTCATCGTGCGCCGCATCGCCGGCCGCATGGTCCACGAGCCCTCGGGCAGGGTCTACAACGACGACTTCAACGCGCCTAGGGTCCCGGGCAGGGACGACGTGACGGGGGAGGAGCTCGTCAGGAGGCCCGACGACTGCCCGGACGTCTACAGGTCGCGCTTCCAAAAGTTCAGGGAGACGAGCGAGCCCCTGCTCGAGCACTACGCCCGCAAGGGCGTGCTGTGGGAGGTCGAGGGCCTGAGTAGCGATGACATCACCCCGAGGCTGTTCCGCGAGTTCGAGAAGAGGTTCCTGCAGTGAAGTCGGACCTGGACCTCTCTTTTTTTTTTCTCCATTTCTTGCACTTTGCGATTTGTCATTTTTTTTTTTTAACGATTTTACTCCATTTCATGTCTCTATTTGCCATCCTTTCGTATTTCTATTCTCTATTCATATTCATCGCGTCTCGGTTCCACGACATATAATCCCGTTTTCTACTAGGGGCGGGTTTTGGTCTCCTTGCCCTCGGCGGGCTGGCTTGGCTGGAGGAGTTATGTGTGTCTCTCACGGACTGGAAAGGCCCAAACGTCCTGGTTTTTTTTCTTATGGATGACTTCCATGATTGGTCCGTGGACTTGGATCGAACCCCCTTCTTTCTTTTTCTTTTTTAGGGGCAATCTTGTTTCTCATTTCTGTATATACACCCCGGGTTTCCCCATGTATGAACTTACGCGCCTACTGTATGCCCCTACTAGTTCTCCTGGGAGATCACGATGTTCATGTGAGGCAGTCATGATGGCCTCGAGAAATGCATCTTCTATTCATGCTGATACTCATGTTTCCTAGCCACATAAAGAAAAGAGGTATTGGACGTCTATATATGCTCGACCATGAGCAATAACAAAGCTCAACCGAGGTTGGAGAGCTCCCACACGGCCCTCAGGGCCGCCAGGCCTCCAGCCTGCGTCTCCACCGTCCGGCCGCGTCCCCGGTCGTTGGGGTCCGACCCCTTTCGTCGCCCACCCTGCACCGAGAAGGCGACCTGGTCCATGAACCCTCCGGCAGGCTCACGCTCGGCGCCCGCGTCCTCCTCCGCCGACTCGGCCATCTGATCGCCCAGAGACGGACGTGTCGCACCGCCTTGCGGAACCCACTCCAGGGTATCGGGAACGCCGTACGTCCGATAATCGACCGACTCCTCCTCAGCGACAGCGCCCGGCGAGCTGGATCGTGGCTTGACCGTCTTAAGATCCTCAACGACAATGTCGAGCAGGCCCGCCGTCCACCACATGCCGAAGCGGCCCTTCGCATCGCGCGTGGCCTGGGCGGCCTTGGCGTTGTGCTCCACCCAGCCCCTGTACGACTTGCACGAGCTGCTGTGCGTCGCCCGGAGGCTCTCCGATGCCGACGAGTCCTCTTCGAGCGTCCCGCAGAAGGTGATGAGGTGGTGGAAGAAGATGCCCTTGAACGTCTGGCTGTCTTGAGAGCACGACCCGCTCACATCACACTGGTCCTCTAGCACGCCGGCCCGGCCCATGCCGCGCCACGGCGGCAGCTCGCCGGGCTTCAGGTCGCCAATGTTGTCCATCGGCCGGTCCTTATCCAGATCGTAGCCCGTGGCTTTGATGGTGGATCGTATCAGGTGGTGGCCCTCGGTGATGTACGATTCGTCCCCCTTGACGGCCCAAAGACCACGGAGTCCAGTGAGTATGACACCCTGGTTGTACGTGTAGACCATGCCGTTCCGAGCATCGCAGGCTGTGTTGTTACTGTTCGGATCGCCCCAGCCCGAGATGTGGAAGCCGTCCACGTACAGACCCTCGGGGTCCTGACCGGGCCCGTTCTGCATGCCCGACTTACGGAGCCAGACGTAGCCATTCACGGCAGCATCCAGGTACTTTTGATCGTGCTTGGTGTGGGGGCCGTGTCGTCCGCCGGGCAGGTTGAAGGGTGACTCGTTATCGTCTCCCGGGAAGTACCGGTACATGGAGACCGAGGCCGCGATAAAGAGCTCGTTGGTAATGGCGTTCTTGTAGGTCTGGGCGTGCGGGTTCCAGTTCATGCCGCCGCCGCACCACTTGGTATCCCATCCCTTGTACGCGAGCTCCCAAAAGATGCGAGAACGGTGGGCAAAGGCCGGTGTCCAGATGTTACCAAAGTAGGCCTTGCCCGTGGCTTGATCCAGGAGCTGCTGCTGCCCCGGGAGGAGACGAGGAGATCCAGAGGGGTAGTAGAGGTGCGAGTGCAGGTTGACAAACTTGACAGTCTCTAGCCACCCGAGAACCACCCACAGCATGTCGTCATAGGCCTGGGCGCGGAGGGCGATGTCGTTCTGCCCAAAGTAGAAGCCCAGCATCTGGGAAAAATAGAGGGCGATCAGGTTCTCGCGGTCCTTATCGCTATCCCCGTCGCCGGCGGCCAGGGCGTGAGAGAGGGAGCTGAGCGCACCCGAGACCTGGGTGCCAATAACAGCTGCAGTCCAGTCGATGGCGTCGGGCCACGTCCCTTTCCAGGGCTCGAAGTAGTTGTCCTGGAGAACTTTGAGGGCGCCCAGAACCTCGTCTAGTACGCGTGGGTCCGGGCTTCTCGATGTACGTGTTTGCACCTGGGCTCGAGACCCGAGGAGCTTGCTGTCTCTACCATGGCAGTGGGGTTTGCCCAGGCTTGCCGGTGATGCGAACACCGGCACCCCCGAGAGGGTGAAGGCGGCGAGCCAGCCCAAGGCTCGGGCCAAGAGCATCTTCTGCTGGGCGTGTGCCGATTAGTACCACCCAGGCAGGCAAGCAAAGATATTTGAGTTCCCAGTGATACCGCCGTCTTGTCAAACAAGCGTATCCTGTCCCCAGAAAAACCATGGCGGGCTGTGTCGAGTATTCATGAAACCCATATTTTCCATCTCCGAAAGGCGGCGGCCTTAGCTTGCGTGTAAGACGAGGAAGAAGAAAATGACGGGAAGAGAAAAGGGAATAGAAATGACGGAAGCTTGAAAATCGAGAAAAGGAATATCGACTGGTTCGGTTCCAACGGCGGCACAAAGCCTCGACTCTATCCGACCGCATCACATACCTTGTTGGGTGGGCGGCAATTAGTGTTTGGCCGTATATAGGTTTTTCGCCCAGTCGCGCACGGTGATCAGACCATGGATTAGGTTTCGCCCTGCCAGTCTTCGTCATCCCGTCCGGGCGTCTATTGTTAGCCAGCACCACCCTATGGTAGCATTGACCAACCACACAACCAACATTCAACCCATCCGTTGTACCTGCGTGCGCGCGGAAAAAGGGGGCTCCCTACCTGGATGTCTGTTTGGCGATGGTATTTGTATGGAGGGAGAAGAGCGAGATGGTAATTGACCACCACGAGGAGAACTTGACCAAAAACAAAAGACGCAACAGAGAAGAGGAGCAATGCAAATCGCGGGAAAGGAAGGACTTGACGACGCTGAACCTTTATATCCCGACGGAGAATAGACAAATAAAGAGGGAGCGAAGAAAAAAAAGCAAGACGACCAGACAGCTGAGGCTGAGAAACAAACCAGTCGGGAACGTTTGATGGCCACGCTCTGTTTCAACAAAGTCACATGGCGCTAGAAAGCAGCGGTGGCCATTCGCACAATTCCGGGGGGAGGCACCTGCTTGCTGACCTCCCCCCCCCTCCCTCTTCTGGCACCTGCCCGTCCACTTTGCCTGCGCACTTGGCGTCATCTTCCTTCTCCTTTTGGCCGTGTCTGAGTCGCTCTTCCCCGCACTGCGCCGTCCGCCTGCTGCGGTGCCGTAGCGCAAAAGGCCGGCGCCAACGGTTAGGGGGGCTGTCGCTACCGAGCTGGGCTAATGGTAGATCGACCTTAAACCATGTGGCAGGCATCTGGGTGACGTCCCTCGTGATCCAACGGCGCGCCCGCTGCTCGGTCTGGCGATCTGGTCTGGTGGATGTGTGCATGAGGGAAAAGAGCGGGGTGGGTGGACGAGAGACAGGTGCGGAACGGGAGAATAAGCCTCGTGCTGTCTTTGATTCTTCTTCCATCCTTTCCGCTCAGAAATATGGAAAGCAGAGTATTGCTATTGGATCGACATGGCTGCAATGCAACCAACAGACAGCTGAGGTGGGCAAAACTCCCAAGTCGCGTGCACTGTGTGTGGGTTGGATGCGAAATCCATGACATGGCCCACAGCGTGCATCTCACAAGACTAGAGCTTGAATGTTGATTGATACTTTCTGCTAATCATGCCGCCATCCCGAACTGAAGACCAAACAAAATGGATACCAAGATGAAACAACAGTGGAAAAAAAAGAAGAATGAAATATAGGTGACAACGGCGAGACAGCAACGTCGGAATAGATAGAAAAAGATATCGTCGCCTTCCAGAGACAGAGACTACCACAAGGGGCCGGCGATGGATGGATAGTCGATAGTGGCTACTTAATTCCAGGCGGCAAGCTGTTCAAAAGTGAACAAACATGCGCCAGAGACATCTTCTCCCTACCAGCCAGGCGGATGCCGCGTTTAGTCCTTCCACTCGTCGTTCCTGATCTCGCTGTCCGGCTCCCCGCGGTTGCCAGATGATGACCCGGCAGTGGGAATGCCCTCGTCATCGTCCTCGTCGAGCGCGAGTGCCAGCTCGTCAGGGTCTTTCATCTTGGCGTCCGGGTCCACAGACCCGTCCACGTTGTGGTCGCCGTCTGACCGCTCACGGTCATGCTCCAGGGTTGTGTCGTCGGCACTGACAGAGATGCCCCTGGCGCCCCACTTGGCCCGCGAGGCTCGTGGTGTGTGCAGCCCATTCTGCCCTCCGAGCGCAGGGGCGCTCTCCTCGTCGTCCTCTTCCCGCACGTGCTTGTTGCCAAAGATTCGGTTCAGCAGCCAGCCCCGGTTGAGGTCGTCCGAATCCACCACGCCGCCGTTTCGTAGCTTGACCCGCTGCCGGCCGTAGTAGACCCAGGCGAAGTCGACGTAGAGAGCCACCTGCACGATGCCGAAAATGACCGACACCGCATTCGGCGGCCGGTGAGTCGGGTCTATTCCGCGGATGATCCAGTTGATCAGATATAGGCCTCGGTAGGCCCCGAGGGCGAGAAGGTAGTACGAGTCGATAACGGTCGGCACGGTGGTTTGGCGGAGCAGGAGGAGCTGCGGCAGGACGCATACGGACTCGAGGATCTCGGAGAAGTCCCATAGCCACTAACAGTGGAGAGAAGGTTAGTACTTGAGCGCACCCAAACCGCTGGCCCACGGCAAACGTGAGCAAAAGTGATGATTCCGAGCAGGTGCGTACCGTAGAGAAGCTCCAGTGCTTCTCAAAGAGCATCATGGCGAACGGAGATATCGCCAGCGACCCACCAGCAGCCGCGGCTCCCAATTTCCACGATACCTCGCGCTCACGAGTGCGCGGGTAGACCCATTGCATGAGCCCGACAATGTAGAAAGACGTGCTGATGTAGAAGATCTTGAAGAAGAGGTTCCAGGGGAACACTTCTTGGAAGATGTCGAGGTATCTCGTGCAGAACACCACCGCGTAGAGGCCTTGGGTTATCAGAGAGACGCCTTCGGCACTCCTGTTCCTATGTATTGCGTACATGAGGATGCATTTCGATATGAGATGGGAGCAGTCTCCCAGGACGCGGAAGATCTGCGCAGAGCTCGAGTTAGCTAGGAAGGGCTGATGGGGAGCTTGGCATAGGGCATCTAGCAACACATCCGAGCGACGGGGCTTGCCAACTCACGTTCCATGAAGTGACCATCTTTGCGCAGTCCGGCGGCCGGAGCCTGTTTGAATCAGTTGGCGCTCTTGCGCGTCGACGGCGGTCGTTGCAGTCGATTGAGAAGGTGGACTTTTTTTGTCGATGGTGGTTATGGTCTGTCAGTGGTCGGTCCGGCCGCTTGCATTTCAGAAGGCCGAGGGGTTGACGAGGTAGAAATGAGATCTAGAAGTAGACGAGGGCTGGGGCTGTAAAGCTCAAGGTTCCAGCGCGCTTGTCGCAGACAGAGTGGTTATCGGGGGAAACGAAGCGAGTAGAAACCGAAGGCCGGTGTTGGGGATGGCAGTTGCCTGCACCCTGGCTTGCGCGTTTGGTCGTCACCTCAGCCGGCGCATGTCGGTGCACGATGGTCGCCCGCCTCAGGCTGCCCCAGCCAGGTGTCCGTCCAGGTGGCATTACGGCAGCAGCAGGTCACAGAAACAGCTGAAAAGTGGAGTCCGTGCCTGAAGTGACGCGCTGCACAGGCACCTTCCAGGTGCTGAGTTGGGATGGTACATGACATGGACGGCACTCAAGGGTCACCGAGATGGATACGAGACCCACAGGTAAATATGGGGCCTCTCCCCGCATCGCTAGTTTGGCTGTTGACAGAATATCTTGCCTGAGGCCTCAATTTCCCCCAAGCCCCAAGCCCCACCACCAGCAACACAGGGCACACAGAATTGCAAAAAGAAGCAGCTGCGTTTGGCGACCATCTTCCCCAGCGAAAAAAAAGAAATCTCAGCCTTTGAGTTCCCACGACGCCAACACACGCATAATACCCTCGGTCGACGCAGACGAGCGACAACCCCTAGGCGACCGCAAAGATGGCAACCGAATTGACTGTGCAGTCGGAGCGTGCGTTCCAGAAGCAGCCGCACATCTTCCTCAACTCCAAGACCAAGGTCAAGTCGGCGCGCCCCGGAAAGGGCGGCCGCCGCTACTACAAGGATGTCGGCCTGGGTTTCCGCACCCCTAAGAACGCCATCGAGGGACAGTACATCGGTACGTGACGCGACGACGGCGACGGGGTGATTTTTCTGCTAGTTGGTGGGCGGGGGGGGGGGGGGAGGAGATGGCCTTTGGGGAGGCAGAACGTGTTCCACCCGAAGTCCCGCGTGTGGTGGAAAATGTCTGCGTCTCGGGATGAATGGGAACATGAAAGAGGCGGTTTTTTGACGAACGAGGAGGCGGAGGCGTCAGACTCGTGGACTTGGGGTGCTCGTGCGCTGGGAGACTGGATCAGAAACGCCAGGCAGAATGTGGGAGAGAACGTCAGGCTGACCATGATATCTCCCTTGCAGACAAGAAGTGCCCCTTCACCGGCCTCGTCTCGATCCGTGGCCGTATCCTGAACGGCACCGTCGTTTCCACCAAGATGCACCGTACTCTGGTCATCCGCCGCGAGTACCTCCACTACATCCCCAAGTACTCCCGTTACGAGAAGCGCCACAAGAACCTCGCCGCCCACGTCTCGCCGGCTTTCCGTGTTGAGGAGGGTGACCACGTCACTGTTGGCCAGTGCAGGCCCCTGAGCAAGACGGTACGCCTTGTGTTTTCCCGCGGCGGCGTCAGTGGGAGCTGTCGGCACCGGTCGCGCTCCTTTAGACGCCCGCAACCCGCATGCTGGGCAACCTACTAACAAATCTTGGAATCAGGTCCGGTTCAACGTTCTGCGTGTCACCCCCAGGGCGGACAAGGCCGTCAAGTCGTTTGCCAAGTTCTAAGGTGGAGGGTTGTCTCTTTTGGGCATTCTAGGCGCTGTTTCTTTACTCGAGGGCTTTCATTATTCCCATGGATTCCGGGATGGCGGTCAAACGGCTAGCTGCTTTGCGCAAAAACGTGGCATAGAGGCAGCTTTGAATGAGAACTCGTTGGTCATTTTGACGGAGGGGGATACCGCCGCGGGTCGTGTCCCTGGAGGGAGGGGTTAAGCGGGATCTGGCATGTGCCAGGATAAAAGGCTGCTAGATATGACGCTCGGGTTCGGGCACCGTGCTTGAGGAGCAGGGCGTATCGGAGGACAGTCAACGGAGTTCGGTGAGACCCTTTTGAGGTCAAGGATATATCTGTTCTAACGAACTGTATATGGATGTGCTCCCTCGGGTTCTAAGTGCAGGCTGTTGGTCATGGCGCTAGAGGTGGCTCTGTTTCCCTTAGTTTTGGAACCGCCTTGTGATGGTGATGGTGATGGGAGCACCTGGCGCCGGCGTGGAAGATGACATGGCGCCTACAGCAACAGCAAAGGGACGGTAGCGCAGATTATCATTGATGTTTGTCCATATCTGCGGTGCTACACCCCGGAGGGCCAGTTGAGCTGACATTTTGGGCGTCCCCGCAAGGCACAAGTGTTTGCGCACGCTTGAATATCATGTACATGCGTGCCAACGCCTGACTTTTAACTGCGTTGAAACACAGCCGCCTACACTCGATGGAGCTGATGGAAAGAGGTTTGGAACAGAGCAGCATAGCATTTCTGTCAGCGCCCGAAACCTCGGCCTGGAAACAATTCTGCTATAACCGCCCCCCTACGCTGGGAAGTTGAGGAGCTAGATATGCGACCTGCACCTGAATCCTCCGAGCGATGGAAAGCTAGTCGGCCCCCTCGGGGTCGTCAGCTTGAGAGCGAGCAGCAAAGACCGACCCAGATTCGCTGCGCTGTCTTGCCATGTTTGGAAGCAACCCATGGACGGCGAAACTGGTCAACGCAGAACAATACGTCTGTCTGAGGACGCCGCTGATCTGGAGATATTACCATAAATTGCTACGCCGCCCTTCAACATCAAGTCGGAACGAGAGTGGCAGGTGAACGATTTTAAGGGCGGGTAGCGGCTGGAAAGGACGAGCTTTACATAATATACCTAATTGCAAAGAGCGCAAATGACTGCTGTAATGGAAAAAAGAAAGAAAAAAAAAGAATGTGTAGTAAGGGATATCCCGGGGAGCCCCCGCGGGGGCTCGAACCCGGGACCTCCCCCCGGGGACAGTGGGGTCCAAGGCGCAGAGCTTATGTCGTACCACCTAGACCACGCCACTATCCCCGGGCACGGAAGCAGCTGCACCAAGTCAGTCTTATGAGGGGAGGGCTCAACGCTCTCTCGTTTCCTGGCGGCCTTCTGGATGGCTGAGGGTGTCGTTAACTCAAAGCTCAAATAGCCTTCAGCCCAAAGCTTGCTTGGATAGGCGTTAACCCAGGGTTTAAATAGCCGTCCCCGACAAGATGACGGGTTATCATTCCTAACCACCACTACCCTACGCACTCGTGAACATCGTTTATATGTATCCGACCGCGCCATGGATCCTGCGCCTGTGGAAGTTCCAGGAAGTCATCATGGCGTGTTACCCTGTCGTCCTCTGCGACAGCCGCGTGGCGAAATGGCGAATGCGCTGCAGTATCCCGGCCCAAGCCTACTTGGGGAACCCTTTCGCCTCAAGGGTTCGGCCTTTCTACAATTCCCAGCAAGGACTCGCCAGCTTGCGCGTCATTATAGGCTTCTGCTTTGTTTTTCGTCGGCCCTTCCCCCATCTTTCCTTGAAACTACCACAACACGGCAACGCACGCTGGGCGTGGTGGTTGGTGTTGGCAATCTACCCCTTGCTTGGAGTGTTGTGTCCCGATTTCTGCAAATGGAGCGGCATCACCACTCGGCAAGATATTGTCAAGCTCCGCGCAGCACCCGCGGTTTTCGCAATGGTGGTTGGAGATAGGAGTGCATATTGTTGTCAGCGCATTCCTCCGCGCCAGACAACTCGTCCCAGAGAACTCGTCCCACACGGGCGTCCTGAAATATGACATCGGGTCCCAGCGGACCACCCTCCTACCGCTCTCGCAATCAGCACATCCGGTTATAGAGGGCACGTTTCGAATCAACGCCGAAATGAGGTATACTGACGATATGGATAATCTCCCGGGGGATGTTGATGTCCCACCTGCGCACAGCTGGGATAAGGAGGTTACAACCACATAGGTTAGGTAGATAATAATACCACCTTGATATTCGACAAGGCACTATCCTAGTGCGAGGGGAGGCGCTAGTGACCTCCGACCAATTCAACCAATCCAGGCCATCTGCGGGCCAAGCGCTGCTATAGGACTAATCTTCAATTGTCAGCAGTCAGAGTAATCCAGGCTGCCGCCGCCGTCACTCCTCGAACCTGTCTAGCCAAGCTATACTTCAGCCCTCCATTGATACCCATCGCAATGCAGGCATTCAGCACCTTCTGCCTCGACGTCGACCCGCGCACGCGGATACGCGAGCTCTACATGACGGACAAATACGTGGTTGCCCCAGGTAGCCACACGGTCATTCACAGCCTCGCCTGTCTGCAGTGCCGGAGAACCCTAGCAGGCGAGGCGTGTCCGAACAACTATGCCGTGATAGAAACGGGACTGATATGGGACTCGGCCTGCTACCCGACGTCCAACCCCATGCTGACGGCATCCTTCGAGGGTAAGATAGGGCTGTGGGGGATCTTGAGACGGGGTAGGGTGGGTAGACACCTCCGCTGAACCTTCAAGGAGCCCCCGTCTAACCTTTTTATATCTTGATACAACCAGCGCCCACGTTCGCGGCTTCAGCCACGAGCAAGACGTCCACAAGGTCGTGTTATTGGAGGGAACCTCTACCTTTGCCCCGGCGTCCAGGGGGCGGCGACATGATGCTGTGGAGCATGACGGCGGCGGCGGTAGTGCGGTTTTGGCCTACCAAGCATCGTATTCATGGACTGTCTACTATCCACAGGCACCTGTGCCTCCTTCAACCCGTGTCCTCGCAGCTCCGTCCCGAGATTCTTAGCTGTTCATCCTCTTTCCACGCAAAGTCCGACGTCCCAAAGTTGACTGTAACGCTTGTCGCGCCTTCGCAATGGCAGATGCAAAGATACAACTTGCGGTATATGATGTTGCTCGTGAGTCGTTCTGTGTTGGATAAGAGGTAGTAGTAGGGGAGTGAATAACTAGTCAGCTCTTGTACTGCCATTGTAGATATGTGCACGGTAGGCTATCCATGAGAGGCAATCTTACCGACCAAATCACCGTCTAGCGTGTACAAATACTCTCCCGTGCGGTAGTTAATGCCGCAGCCCACCGTACTTCCCGGACCGAAGTGTACCATCGTCGGCGTCCAAATGGACTCTTGGTGCATCGACGCGTTGTCCCCGCGGAACGCCGCAGTCCATGGTTGCCAGCCAAGATGGCCGTCCTTCAAGTAGGCGAGCTCCCCACAGAACCCAATCTTCACGGCAACTTCGTGCCAGCGATAGATGCTCAACTCGTGAACTACAGGCCCGGATGCTTGTTCGATGGTTATTTCAAAGCACGGTAGACCCCGAAGTGAGTTTCGGTGCGGGAAGGGGAAGTCGGCTCGGACGCTGGGCACTCCCTTGCCGTGGTAGCTGCCACCTCCGTCTGTTGGCCGTTGCCGGTCGCGATGTTGTCAGCTCAGACTTCATAAAAGATACCTGTCTTGGGCAGCTTGCCTAAGGGTTACTCCGTCTTGACCAAGCTTCGAACCAGACTCTTCGTCCATCTGCAGAAATCTCTACGCCAGGCCCAAATTCTGGATACTCGATTTTCCACGCCAAAGGCCAAACCATGGCCGTTGGTGTTTTGAGATGCCATGTCGTTGGTGATTCATGTGGGGTGAATTCCACCCTCGGCGCCGACTGTGATAGGAAATGGCGGATGGTCCATCCGTCCTGGTCGGCCTCGGTTTCCACATGCTCCAAAAGCGGCTCTAGTTTCTTCCACAAACCTGCTGTATCCGCCTCGGTGGCGATCCGCAGCTCCCTGAAACCAATGGTTGGCGACGGCACCAGAGGGCGAGGAAGGTGCTTGGCGCAAGCTTCTATGTAGTCGCTGCTGTCGAGGTCCAAGCTTATCATTCCGATCCCGAGCTCAAAGGCCGTCTCTTGTCCCACCGAACGCGGCTCAAAGGGGTCGATGCCGGGGTCGATGAGGGCGAGCGGGATAAGCTTGCAGACTCTCCTCCATCTATCCATCTCTCGGACCCTCAACAAGTACGCCATCAGCCCGCTGTGGCCGCCCTCGTCCGAACGTTCCTTCAAGAGGCGGCCACCCTCATTGCTGTCCAGCGAAAGCTCGACGCAGCGCGCTGAGGCTGGGCCCGGCTCGGCCACCAAAATGCCCTCCCAGTAGGCGGCCACCAGATCGCGGTAGTCCCATGATCCCGCACAAGACGCCCCCTCGAGCAGCACCTCGAGCACCTGGTCCTTGAGCGCGCTGACCGCCAGGCTGAGACACGTTTCGCCTTTATGAGTCTGGGCTTGCATCTTGGTCCCTCTTCGCAAGAGCAGTCGAACCGCTTCTAGAGAACCATATTCTACGGCAGCGTGAATAGGACTGATTCCGTCGCGATCCGGCAAATTGACGTCGGGCTTGTGCAGGATGAGCAATTCCAAAATCTCCAACGTTGAATACGGCTGTATGAAGAGGAGACCAACCGTCGGTGCGATACGACAAGGTGACGTCGGCACCACCTTCCAAGAGCGCCTTGGCCGCTCTGACCTGGCGATGATAGGCAGCATAGTAGGGGGGTGTCATGTATTCTACGTCGACAGCGTTGATTGCCGCGCCCTAATCGAGCAGGGCTGAGATGGCCTCGGCATGGCCCCGTTTTGCCGCGCAGTGCAGCGGCGTCCTACCTTGCTCGTCAGTTGCGTCTACCTCGGCCCCCAAGCCCCATCAGCCCGCTCCCGGATACTTCTCGCCGGCCATGGGCTTGGCGGTCTGGTGCTCAAGCAGGTGAGTAGGCACCTCTTCATTCACGCCGCCACGTAGCGTGGACTAACTCTATCAACGCCCTACAAGGTTGTGATAATGGCCAACACGCTACCGAGATTTTGCCGTGTTACCTTCAACCTGGAGGGTTTGGCGTTCTTCTCAACTCCTCACCGTCTCATAAAGCATTCATCCTAGGAAGAGGTCCTGGTCGACATGATCAGGGAGACGGGGAAGAGCCTCCGTGGCCGGCTGTCTGAAAGGCTACAGGGACTTGTCGACTCCGTAACCCAGATTTCTCATCTCTTTCACTGATACACTTCAAAGTACCCGATTGCCAACTTTGTCCCGAGCGAGCAGTCGGACGATGCGCTCGCCATGAGGTTACATGAGAGCAATTCCCGCGAGAGCATCAGCCCCTGGAAATATCATGACCGCAGCGACCGAAATGACGAATCTAATTGCCGCCGATGATCTCGAGGCTCTCGAGACGCTCAGGGCGCACTTTGCGCCCCATAATCTTTTACTCAAGTTGCGCAAAGGCAAGCCCCTTTCGGCCCTCCAGTCGGACTTGTGGACGAGCCAGTGGACCGACTCTGAAATAGAAACCGCTCGCGTCGCCAAAGGATCGCTGTCGTAATTAACTCCTAGTGACGCGTACTTTGGTTTCTCCAGGCGCTGCCCCCTTGCCGAGGTCTCTTGTACCAGCCCCAGGCCTCGATCGGACCGGAAGAGCTCCGCAATGTTGGCAAAACCGACCAGTCGCCGCTCCAAAAAGTCCTGTTCAGAGAAGTGCGCGGAAAATCCGTCCGAATCACCGGACCCGCTGGCTGCGGCAAGTCGATGCTGGTAAAAGTCATATCTGAGCGGCTGAGACGAAGGTTGGCAGCTGTGGTCGTCGAATATATCGCCCCCATCAGCTCGCAACCCCATACCGAGAACCTCTATGGCGTACTCGCCTCTTTTATGCATCAGGTCGTATCCCAAAGACTGGCGGTGCTCGATCCCGTCGGGGGCCTTGTTGCTCGTATTCTAAAGCAGCGAGTCTGGTCAGAACGAGCAACCCACGCCTTGTTGTCCTCGATGCTGCTGCACGCAGAGAACATGGACCTCCTGGTGGTGATTTACGATATGGAACGCTGGCCGGCGTCGGCCCGTTCCTGGTGGCACACGCTCCAGCATCGTCTCCTTGGGTCGTCCAAGTGCACCTTTCTCACAAGTAGCCGCGCTCTGGACGAAGATCTTGGCGCGGGAAAGCCTTTCCATCTGGACCTGTCAAACGAGGACGGACGCAAACTCGATCTCATCAAGGCTAGAGTCCGCCGACATGACGAGCAGTCTCCAGGCTCAGCATTTGAAGAGTCGGTGCAAAAGGAAATTTTCGCTGCTGCTCAGAAATTTCAGAGGTCGTTCACCGCCGTCGATAACTTCCTCACCCGCCTCTTCCAGTCCTTTACTCCGACAGCGCCCGAGACGGCGAGGATGGCCATTTGGGCCTTGCCCACAACCGAAGAGCAACTCTTTCAAGAAGAGCTGGTGCCATTCTTCAGGCCCGGGCAGTCGCGCGCATCTTCCTGGGTCGTTCCAACGCTCTCGTGGGTTCTTCGTGCCGCGCGTCCGTTGCACGTTATGGAGCTTGCTGTGGCCGTCTTGATCAACCTGTGCAGCAACACCAAGCAGGAATTGCAAGACAAAATTTCGGCCGACATGGAGCGCGACCTCCAGAGCGCCCTTGGAGTTTTGCTGTCGGTCAAGAACCAACACGTGCGCTTTGCCAGCCCTGTAGTCAAGTCTGCGCTGCTCAAACACGCGTCGCTGAAAGACGATAGGGCGTGTTGAGTGTGGTGCACGGGCCCTTGTGTCACGTGACGGGCGAGGACCTCTTTGCCCATCGCCCGCATGGCACATGGATGGCTTCCCTTTGGAGGCTCACGACACGCCAGATAGATCGCCCACGCCTTGATTGATATACGAGACCTAGGCGATAGATACTCTTGGCACCCTTCGGGGTCGCCTTATATTTACGTCTTTCCCCCTCTTGCGGTCTCCTTGATGCGATATGGTAGCAACTCTGATTGATTTTTAGCATCTACCGCTAAAAATCCGATCCACGCCTCAGACCGGATCGTCAGAATTCAATCTACGTCACAACTCGTCGACGTCTACAAGCATCATCGAGCCTAGGGTTCGCCGGTCGACGACCCTACCCAACGGTTAATCTGGGACCCTGTCGCTGCACCGTGGTGACATTGGGATTGTTCCCTGGCGCCGACGAGTCGACCCGTCGGGATCTACCTTGGTGCCTTGCTTCCCTTGCTACTCACCTTCCCTTACCTTTCAACCTCGTCGCACAGCTTCCGCGGCGCCGAACTGTCCCGACACCAGCACCTTGTCGATACCAATCGACATTAGTTTCTCCTCGCTTCTCGCTCGGATCGCGTCGAACCTAGTCGACGCCAATCCGTTCGGCGAATGTCTGGACCTCGCCACCCGACCTAATCATAATCTTATTCCGCCTTATATTTACGTCTTTCCCCTCTTGCCGTCTCCTTGATGCGATAAGGCGGGCGAATCCGTCAAGCTGGGAACACACCATCTCCTGACCCTGCATTGCCTCCACTACCTGGGTGTCGTCCTCGCCGACGACTCGCCGCGGGAGTGGAAGCGATGTTTGTCGTGTGTCTCGACGTACCGACAAGTGGCGAGAGCCCCTCGGGACCCAGTCCTCGAGTTTCCGCACTACGCGTGCCTGTTCTGGCCTTCCCACTTCCTCCAGTATGAACGGCATACTAAGGACAATTCGGACCTGGTCGTCAAGGTGGCCGAGTTCCTCCAACAGCCAACGGTGGCAGATGGCTGGTTCAAACTACACCTGCTCTGCACAGGTACAGCATCACCGGCCAGCGGAGACGAGAAGGCGGATTCCCGGAAACGAGCAGCGCAGATGGCAGCGTATGTCGGCCTTGATTCGGTCGTAGCCTATCTGTCAGGTGATGGGGGCGACTAGAAGACCGGGGGTGGCACTGCCCACGTACCTGTCCGCCACGGCCACGCACAGCACAACGTTGTCCTAGGCCCTTTGCCGCTAGACTTCTGCCTGGAGATTGCTGTTGCCAACGACGACCATGAGAGGGTTGTACAGCTGATGCAACTCGGCCAAAAAGACACGACAAAGCACTTCCCCCTCCACGCGGCGGCGTCGGCAGGCAGCCTGATGACCATGCACACACTTCTCAACATGATGGAAGATGAGCAGCAAAACCATGACGGCCAGACCCCACTTCACTTGGCAGCCGCTGGTGGCCACTTGGATGCTGTTCAGTTTCTGTTGGAGAAGGATAATCATCGCAGGTCATCGGATGCGACGAAGGAGAAGCCAGGAGGAGAAGGGGGTTGCGTTCCCAGCACGGTGGATGCTCCAGACTCGAACAAGCAGACGCCACTGATGCTAGCAGCGAATATGGGTCATGTCGGGGTTGCCCGGTACTTGGCGACTTCTGGCGCAGAGGTCCTGACCCGTGACAAACACGGCAAGACCGCCCTACATCATGCCGTTATCCACTGCCCACAGGTGGTCGAGCTTATTGCGAGGAAGGAGCCTATCGGTCTGCTGGTGCAAGACGCCAGCGGCCAAACTCCTCTGCATATCGCTGCCCGAATCGCCGGTGCCGCGTCGGCGTCTACGATGGTTGAAGCCGCCAGCGACAGCGCACATCTCGGCCAGCTGCCGCAGGCCGTTGACGAGAGCGGGAGGACGGCGCTGCACTGCGCCGCGCAGTCCGGTGCAGCCGACGTCGCGCGGATTTTGGGAGAGAAGGATGACAACCTTCGTCTGACGGTGGTAGTTGAGGATAGCGAGAATCAGGATACTCCAGCACAGCTCGCCGCGCTGTGTGGCCAGCTGGTCGTCATGAAACTCATACTTAGCTGGATGCCGGACACGCCGGATACTCCGGACGGCGGCCTGCTTTTCGCTGCTTCAGATGCCGGCCAGTTGTTGGTGGTACGCCACCTCCTCCACATCGGCTGTCCCCCAGACGGGCCATGGGAGGAGATCCGCCCACTCTATCTGGCCGCTTGGCAAGGGCACAATGCGGTAGTGCTTGCTCTGCTACAGGGCGGGGCACAGATCGCTCCGCCGTCCACGGATGAACGGACTAGTCTCCATCATGCCTCGGCAAATGGCGGTTGTGATGTCGTCCGAACACTCCTTGACTGGCTCCCCCTCCAGGCGAATGGATACATATCGACACTCCCGATTCTCTGGGATTTACACCACTCCATTTAGCGGCCCGACTGGACAGAGAAGTCATGGCCCTCCTGGCAGACCGCGGAGCTGACATCCAGGCCCGCTCGCAGGCTCGGGATACCCCCCTGCACTTGGCGGCCATCAGCAGTGGGCAGGCGGTCACTTTTCTGTTGGACAAAGGGGCGGCAGTAAACGACCAGGACGCCGAAGTCGGAGCGCCCCTGCATGATGCAGTGCGCATGAAGAATATCAAGTCGGCCATGGCCCTCATCAGGGGAGGCGCTGACCTGGATGGCCGAGACGAGAGAAGAAAGACCCCTGTATTGCGCTCTGAAGCGGGGCGACGTCGTCATGGTCAAAGCGTTCTTGGAAGCCAGCCCGGACGGTTTCCTGGATAACATTGGGTCAACCTGAAGCGGGCAGTGCGATGTTCGGCTGCCGGTGTGGCAAGCTTCATCAAGGAATTCAAGGACATAATCGGCGAGGACAATGACCGGGTGGCCGATTTGTTCATTGTTACGGCGAGGCAGACGAATCTCACGGATATCCTCGTGGCCTTGGTGTACTTGGGGGCCGACATCAATCAACGCGGGGGCCGGTTGAACAAGACGATCCTGCACATAGCAGCAGAGCGCGGCAGAGTGGGAAATATGAGCATGATCTGTGCCTTTTATGGCCGGCAAGCCTGTGCTTCTCGATCCGGTCGAGAAGACGGACCGCCTCATTTTCGAGCCAGCCAGGAGAGGAGCCATAGACATCTCCGGCAGTTGCGACCGCCGGGGCCGCACATGTATTGACGCGCCCGGTGACCCGAAAGGGGATGCCGCCCCCGGCACCGCCGTTCGAAGAGGTCTCGACCCTGCCGTTTCTGAGCGGATCAGGACCGGCCGGTTCTATCGTGTCGGCCTCAACTTTGCGCGACCTTGACTGGCCACCATCTTCCTCAGATACGCCACTCGGATTTTCCTTTGCATCACCCTCAGCCCCGAGGCCTGATTCAGAATATCCGGAGCCGCATCACCACGGAAGATGTTGTGGAGAATAACTTGGGCTTCAGGTACGAGCCCATCTATCAGGTTTGCGACCTGAGTGCCCTTCCATGTGTCGGTGACGTCCAGAAAGCCAACCAAGTAGATCTTAGATTTGACCGAACATGTTAATAATAATTGCGCATCATTTAGTCCTTTTTCGGACCCAAAGGGCCGAGGCACTGACTTGTACAGGCTGTGTTTTCTTCGGTCCGCATCCATTACTGGGAGCCGAATAGCATGCTGCAAAGGGACAAGACGGAGTCGAATGGTCTACGCCAGCCCTAGGTGCCGATAGCTCAAGGTGATAATAGTTGCAAGCGACTAGGACCCTGGCGTCAGTAGTGGACGCTGATGGTGTGTGTCCGGGGCATCGAGGGCTCAGGAACTTGATGCCTGACCACCCAAGGCTGAAGGCAGCCAGTTAACACAAAACAAAAGGACAAATACCAACACAAAAACGGGTGGGGTTTGGTCAGTTCGCTGCAGGCTGACCAAGACTACCAGGACGGGTGGGGTTTGGTCAGTTCGCTGCAGGCTGACCAAGACTACCAGGACGGGTGGGGTTTGGTCAGTTCGCTGCAGGTTGACCAAGACTACCAGGACGTGTGGGGGTATGGTGATAATATTGAATGTTGGTTGGTAGGAGTGGTTGGAGAGGTGCATGGGAAATGGCATGGATGTCCCAACAGCTGAAATGCCCAGAAATAGGTGTCAGGTACCAATTGCTCCCGTGACGTGGGTTGCTCTTGTCCAGGTACTTCCATTAATATTATTTCTCCCTCACCTCAAAGATAACCTCCTCATTCAATGCATCCTCTCTCGAAGTACCCGGGGGTCGTGCGTTGTGAACCCTCCAGAGCATCTCGGAAGGCATGATTATGTGGCTCATCACTGGTGGAATGCGGTAAGACAATAGAGCGTACATAGGTGGTAATGTATTACCTTCAGGGTGGAAACAAGGGCGACCGCCCATTGGCCAGCAGCTTCGACCATCATGCTTATGTAACATCCAAAATTCGCAGCGCTGAAGAGCATCACGGCCGGTCAGGGTCGGCGGGGAGGGGGAGCTCCATCTAAAAATAAACGAAAAAGCCGACATGCGCTAGCTTGACTACTCCACGAAAGGCCATACTTCGCGATGGGGTGGCTCGACGGACTCTTCGGTGGACAGCCAAGCAACAATGGGTCAGATCCGCTGCAGAAGCTCGACCCGAAGCTGCGCGAGTTCCTCGAGAAGGAATCGCCAGTGAAGTTCAAGCCCGCCGAGGCCGGCCGGCAACAGCAGCAGCAGCAGCCACCACAACAGCCACCACAGCCCGACTCGAGGCAACAGCAACCCCCGCCGGCCGCGACGACACATGGCCAAGGCACCGACCCCGCCGCCGCGCCAGCAGCGGTGCCGAGCGAGTCGCAGTTCCCCGACGGGCGGTACGCGCACCTGTGGCGGACGTACCGCCCACAGGCCGAGGTCGAGGCCGAGGCCAAGAGCGGCCACGAGAAGCTCATGGACGTGCTCGAGGGCTACAAGGAGCGGCGGTCCAACATCGGGCGCGCCGCGCTCGAGAACTGCGCGCTCGAACAGCTCGACTGGAGCCAGTGCATGAAGGCCGGCGACTGGGAGGCCAAGCTCACCATGTGCAGCGCCCAGGTGCGCAAGTTTGAGCGCTGCTACACGATGCAGTCGGTATGCTTTTCTTCTTCTTTTCTTCTTCTTCTTGTGGCTTTCTCTTCTCCCACTGCTTCGGAGGCGAACTATAGACGACCACATGTACATGTGCTAACCCCACCTCTCCCCTAAATAGCGCCTCCTGAAAGCCCTGGGCTACCTCTCGGCGCACGACCGCCCCGCCTCGGTCGACGAGGAGATCCAGATGCACGCCGACAGCCTGTACCACCGGATGCTGGAGCAGGAGGCCGCGGCGCAAAAGGCAAAGGAGGAAGGGAGGCCCGCGCCCGAGTTCGCGCCCCTCATCACGCGCACCACCTTTGCGGACGCGGCCGACATGGACGACGAGAAGATCAAGGGCCTCGTCTCGGAGGAGGCGCGCCAAAAGTTCGAGGAGCGCGTCCGGGACCTGCCCGAGCAGGAGCGCGCCGCCGAGGAGGCCGCCGCAAGGGCCGAGCTGCGCGCCCAGGCCGAGGCCGCGAGCCGCCTGCACGAGCTGCGGCGCGAGGAGGAGAGGGAGAGGGAGCTGCGGAAACTGCAGGGCAAGGAGACGATACTCGACAAGGTCTCGGGCGCGTTCAAGGGCCCTGGTGGTGGCGGCTCCTCCTCATGATGTCCTTTTTTATTCCTTTTGCGTTTGCCAATGCCGCACTGTTTGTCCCGCGCCAGGGGTTGCAGCGTGGAGACGACCATGGGGGCGCGATTATCCCTACACACCCGTTCGATCTGATGACCACCGTGTACCATATAAACCTATTATGACCAACTTCCCACCCACCCTGGTGATATCAGGCAGGTGGTTAGGGCAACAGTGGAGTGCGCCCGATACCGCCTCCCATCGAGTCCTTCTCGATTCAAGCCAACCATCCCAAATGCTGTGACAAACCGCCGCCGAATGAACAAACGCAACGCAACCATATCTAGTGCAAATCTGGCGACAAACCCACTAAGTGTCCCTGACAAAATGGCAGACAATCCAATCTACCTCGCCTGGAGGGCCGCGGCGGCCCTCTCCAAGTAGGCGTTGAAGCTCTTGACCTGGTCGAGCACGCCGGTCCCTGGGCCGCCGGCGCACAGCTGGCCGCCAACCCTGTGCATGAGGAGCTCGAGGTTCTCCAGCTCTGCCCTTTTCTTGTCGGCAGCCGACAGTTCCGGGGCCGAGCGACCCTCGTCCACCGCCAGCTCGATGTCGTGCATCGCCGACGATATCTGTATATTCCTCTGATGACGGAGACGGACCGTGTGTTAGGTGATTTGTGGCACTCGGCGTGGCAAGGGAATGCGTGAGAAGAGACGGGCGCTTACCAAAACCTTTTGCGCTTCACTCCCGTGCCTCAACCTGAGCGCGTCCATGCGCAGCGCGACCTGATCCCGTTCAGCCCGCAGCCGGAGGATCTCATCGCGGAGGCTGCGTTTCTCTTTTTGGCTTGCACGCAGCCGCTTCTTGAGCATGTGGAGGCTATCCAAAGCGATCGTCTGGGAGGAGAGGGGCCGCCAGGCCTTGGGTTAGCAATGTGAACTTGCCTGAAAAAGAAGCGGCTGAAGGACAAAGTCCCCAGACTTACATGCTCAATCAGCTTCGTCCTCAGCTCCTCCCTGAAGGCCTCCAGCGCCCTGATCTTGGTCTTGAGCTCCCGCCTGGTCGCCGCATCCTCTGCCTCGCCTGCCTTCTCCCTGAGCGTGCGCAGCACGCCCACCGTGACCTCTTCGCAAAGCTGCCTCAGGATGTCGACCGAGGTGACGCCGTCGCGGCTCGCGAACGGGATGCCGGACACGAGCTCGTCCTCGTCCGACTCGTCCCCGCCGGCGCCCCTGAACCTGGTGAAGCGCTGGACGGGCACCGAGATGGGCTCGCCCGACACCTCGACCTCCGGGCCGCTGTCCAGAGGAGGGGGTGCCGTCTTTTTTTTGGCCCTCTGTCTCGGCGGCCCCTTTTGCTTCGGCGGCGGCTCCTTCTGCTTCGGCTGTTCTTTCTGCTTTGGCAGCTCTTTCTGTTTGGGTGGCTGCTTCAACTTCGACGCCTGCTTCTCTGCCGCCGCGCGCTGTGGTCTTGGTGGTTGATTTTGCCTCGATGGGCTCGAGACTGGGGCACCCCGTCGGCGCTTGGGAGGCCGTGGGACCGTCTCCTCGGCGGCCGAGCCCAGCTCAGGGGATGGTGCAGGGAAGCTTCTCCGCAGTCGCTTCCTACCAAGCTTCCGAGCTGCTTCCTGATCGTCGACCTCCTCAGCCTCGCCTGGTGACTCCTCGTTCTGTTCTGATATATCATCCGAGGCCTCGACCCTGCTTGGGGTCTGGGCTTCTTCCACTTCGTCGGCTTCCTCCGGGATCTCAGCCAGTGCAAGAGATGCCCTGGCACTCAAAGAACCTCGCTCAGCCGGCTTGTCGGACGCGCTTGGTTGCTTTGGAGACAGCTCATCGATATCCATGTCAACGCTCGGTGGCCTTGCGTTCTGTCTGCCCCTCCTCGCCATAGTCCTCGTGGCTGCCAGGCCCGCAGAAGCCCGCCTTTTCTCAAGAGCGCGAGCGGCTGGCGAGGACTCTACAACGCTGCTAGCACCGGCGGGGTTTCCGGGGGATAGCTCGTCGACATTATCGACGATGGTATCATTCGAGGGAATTGCCTGGCCCGGGCCGCTGGCCACTTCCGGGGATTCCTCCACCTCGCCGCTACGGACGGCCGAGGAGGCCTGAGAGAGCCGCGCGCTCAGTCTGGCGCCCGAAACAGAAGGGGCAGCAGCTGCGGCAGTGGCGCTCGTAGCGGCGGTGTCCGAGCCCGCGCTGAGCCGCGTCGAAGCAGTGCCGAGCGAGGACCGCGCCCTCCTCGTCTTGCGCTCCAGGGGCGACGACGAAGCGACGACGTGCTCCGGCTCTGCCTCGGCCAGCAGCACCTCCTGGAGCGAGACCGAGGCCGTCTGGCTGGCGGCGGCGCTGATGCGCACGCGCCGCCGGTGGCCGCTCCCGGGCGCCCCGACGGGGCTCTCCGTCACCTCGTCATAGCCGTCAGACGGGGGCTGGTGCGTGATCCGCCGGGCCGACAGCCTGCGGGCGCTGTGCTGGCTCACCTCGTCCTCCGTGTTGTCCGGCATGTCGTAGAGATTGCCCCGCTTCCGAGAGGACGAGGCCACGGTGACGTTTCGCGACGCCGGCGGCGTCGGCGTGCCGGATGGGACGGCATGCTCCGCCGCAGGAGCTTCTTCCACCTCAGGTGAAGAAGGGGGAAGCTCCCGATTGGTACCCAAGGTCGGGGACCCCGCCGGAAGCGGAGCCGGTTCGGGCCCCAGGCCCGGCTCCTGGGCCGGCTCCTCCGCCTCATCGAGAGGGAAAATGCCGAAGGAGATGTCCTCGACTTGATGGCGCCTGGAGCGTTATGTCAACGGTGGTCTGCAGCGATAATGAAATATGGTCAATGCATGAAATAGCATACTGTGCTCCACGCAGCCGCCCGTACATGCGCTCCTCCCGGCCTAGACGTTGGGGCAGGTTAGCAGCTAGGTCTCTAATCAGACAGGAGGGGATTGGCGTCAACGTACTGGTCGCCATGGTGCCGGACAGACTCAAGGTGAGCCGAAGTCACCAGGACTTGGTTTATCAATCACACATTCGAGTGCTGAATTGGTTTGCGGAAAATTCACAAGACTGTCACATCTCGAATTCGCCAAGTGAGCGAGTCCCAGAAGTGGCGATGACGGAACAGCGACGCGTAGATTGAGACGCGTCTTGGGTGGGGCCCTGGTCCACACAGTGGGGCCGACAACGGCACGCACCCGACAAGGCTGGTGTTCCGTGCAGCTTTCAAATGCATCAAAGATTAAAGTAATCATTAATCAAAACCATGGGGGTATATCTAACTAGACTGAGCTGCACCCACCATCTGAGGAGGTCCTGCATTCCCTCCCGATTTATCACTACCATCATGATGGTTCAGATGAAGCTTCCCCATCAGCTGCGCCAGGGGCCTCTTCTCTGCCTTCTCCCTGGCTTCTCGTTCAAGCACCGCCCGCTCCTTGGCCGCCGACTCGGTCTTGTCCCTTTCGGCTTCCTCCCTCTTAGCAACCTCCTCTGGGGCCACAATCTTTTCTTTGCCGTGAGCCATCCTGTTGACGATGCTCTTGCTCTTCGCCCTGGTCCTCGCATACACCTCCAGGCCCACCAAGATGGCATAAGACTTCGAAATTGACACGTGCCTCATGTCAACCCCCGTCTCGTTGAGCGACTTGACGAACGCTCTGAAGTTGGCGGCTGGCGGCCTATAGTGTCCGCTGAGGGGCGACAGCGACTTGAGTCTGCCGTCTTTGATCTTTATCAATCCAGCAGCCGAGATTCGGCTTCCCTGGAGAAACGACGAGTGTTGGAATGCGCCCGAGTTCTTGATGCCGACGTACAACCTGAACGAAGTGTCGGCCACGAAGATCCACGTGTTCTTCTTGACCGACTTTCGGAGTAGCTTGTTGAATATGGTGGCGGCAGAAACGTGCCGCACCTTCTGCAGCCCTTGGGCCTCGTCCAGCCCCGGGGTAGCATATTTGGCCGCTCGTGCCGCCTCCAGCTCAGCGTCAGAGTCCCTATCACTGCTGCTCTCCGCGTTACTGCTGTTGCCAAGAAAGCGCGTCGTGTGCTCTGCCATGGCCGGCCTAAACTCTGGGGTTTCGTCGTCTCTCGGCACGATTCCATGGAGCGAGTCCCTCCATTCTTCTGTCGTGTCGATGGGAGCGTTGTTTTTTGCCCAGCATAAGCGTCCTTCGGCATCGACTGTGACCAGATAATACTGGCGCTCCTCTCGACTGAGGTATCGCACCTGCTCCCTGTCCAACCTCTCTCTCGGACAATTCTCGAGGTCTAGCTGGCGTCCTTCACCATAGTCCAGCCAGTAGAAAAAGTTTTCGCGCGTGTCGCTTTTCTTCCATATCTCATGGTAACTTCTCAAGTTGGAGCCGTAACGGTGCTTGACATCAACCAACTCCAGGAAGTACTGCAGCCCCATCATCTGTGCTCCTTTCCGTCGCTCGGCTTTGATATCTTCTCTGTGCTTCTTGGCAGTCTCGTCCTGCCCCTGGGTGGTGTTGCTGTGGGATGAACCAGAGCCATGCGTCGCTTCCGAGTCAGTCAGTCCGTCCACCGAATCTGAATCCTGGTCGCACGCGGCCCTCTGTGCGACGACAGCAGCCTTTCTCCAGTTCTGTCTGGCTGCTGCTGACCGGCCGTCACTATTGCGGCTCCCCGTGCCAGTGTCGCCAACAGGACCTGCTCCGGAGGATGTGGACAGCACAGGGCTTGTCATCGCCTCTACACGGGGCCGTGGCTGAGTGATTTGGCGAAAGCGAGTCTCGCGAATGGCATGAGTCCAGCGAGTGCCGGCGTCGATGCTGAGACCAGACATCTGGCGTCGTACGCGGTAGCCACGGTAAGTGCGTTGGATCAAGGCGGCAGCACGAGTAAACATGATATCCTCGAGGATCGCTGGCCGCTCGGAAGGGGTTCTCGGCTCACGGGGGCTCCGAAGACCGCGCCGTTCCGAGACGGGTGATGTCGGGGATTCGAACCGAGCTGTTCCGCCCACCGGTGACATCGGCGCTGGGCTGTGCCTGGGACTGCGTGACTTGGATCTATGCTCACGCTCGCGGCCGCATTGGACCTGGTCAATGCGGCTGAACTCATCCGGGGACGGAGGCGTGAGCGAGTCCAGGTATCCCTGGCGCGCCGAAAGTTGGGAGGGCCTAGGAGAGCCAGGCTGCTCTGTTTCGGCGGCGGGCGAGGCGGGATCCCTCGGCGGCGGAGTGGTGGGACCAGGAGTTTTCGGCGGGGTCAGGGGCATGTTTGCGCTGCCTGCGGCCTTCTCTGCTTCTTCCTTTTGGATATGCATCTTGGCTGACGCAGCGCGCGTCGTGGCTTCTGCCGAGGAAACCAAGCAATCGGACGGGTTTGCTGAGGAAGCAGCTAGCCAAGTCGCCGCCGTGGATGGACGGGTGGTGGTACGGTGGTGCTGTGGTGCTGTGGTGCTGTGCACTATCTCGTACTATCTGCTGGTTGCGCGGCCAGCTGGTGCGAACGCCGATGATATATGCATAGGGTGGTGGTTTAGGGGGGTTTGGGATGATCATGGGGCACACGCAGCGAAGGGTCCCGCGGACAGCTCAGGCGATAGGCCGTTCCTGAGATAGGAAGTATCTGAGGCGGCGCAGATGCCTGTAGTGCAGATGCGGGAATTGCCCCGGCGGGCCCCTTGACAGATCTCTGCGGACCCGAGTCGCAAAATCGTGGGTATGCATGTCGCGGCTGTTGTTGCTCGCCGCAACGGCATCACCGCCGGCATTGAGATCAAATCACAGGCAAGCAAGGCGCAGCATGACGTGGATTCCCCACGTTGAGGGCCAAGGGGCCTACGTCACATATCGAAATAGCCTTTGGAGGTCCAGACCCGTTGCGGAGCCTCCACACTGCTCTGGGCGTCCTTCGGGTTCCCGCGGATCGAGGTGACGAAACCTGAATATATTGCTAAAAGCCTCTAGTTGAGAGCGGTTGCGCGTCAGTTGATGCCACCACCGGCCTGTGCAGAATGGCAGGTTTCTGTCGCATACTTGCTCAGACATGGACGCGAATCACAGCAAACTGACTAACCTCGGCTTGTTTTGTTTACAACAGCGAATGACTTGGACGCGGATTTTTGCGGCTGGACACTTGGGTACCTAGGTTATACAATATAAAAGGGACCTGTATGGTATCTCCTTGTATTGGTGGCTGCAGATGGACATGCCTTTATTTTCTTTCCTCGGCTGTCGCGTTTGGGGCACGTCCGCCACAGAAAGACGGCAGTCTTACAGGGAGCCCGTCCCGAAGATCAAGCCGAATTTTTAATGCTGTACGCTTTCCAAGTCTTTTCTTTTCCCCATTGTTCTATTATTACCACTGTCTTTATTCTTACTCTTATTTTTTATCCTTATTTTTGTTCCTGTTTTTATACCTATTTTTTTTCGGGTGGGCATGGGCGGACATAGGTTAGGTGGGTCAGAGTGTCGACGAAATTGACACGGTGGAAGCATGAGGATTGACGATTGCTCCAGTTCAAGTTTGAGGAAGCTAATGCGAATGCACGGCCTAGAAAGAGGGAGGGGAAAAGAACAAGAAGAGGGAATGATGGCCGCTGGAAAAAAGTCGGCATCAGGCAATCGACACCGAATTAATCGGACGGCCCGACTTGCAAACGACCAATAAACACACGAATTCTGTCATGATTGACGAGTTTTTTCGTTCTTGATTGCACTGCGGATGTGGTGACCGGTCGTGGAAGCCGGAAGTACTGGCATGGATCAATTGCTGAGGCGCAAACAAATTGTAAGGGGTGAGTCGTCTGCGGGCACCCAGAGAGCGTGCAGGGGCGGCGAGGTGAAGCAGACTCAAATCCAGCATGTGTTGCGAAGAGGGGAGGCAGAAAAAAAAACTCCACAGAACGTCAGGAGTGCTGTCAACCAGCGAGTTAGGCTGTCGGCGCCATTATCGCACGCCAATCTGACCAGGACCACCACGAAAACCAGACACAGCAGCCCGCCACCTCGCCGGCAACCAGAATCGAATTCGCTATCCATGGGATTCAATCGGCCGTGTCTGGATACACGATGAATGCATTTTTCATCGCTGCCAATGGCCTCTGTAACCCGCTCACGGAGAGCTGAAGGCCTCAATCCATTTCCACACCCGCACTCGCTGGGCGGCGCGACTCTCACGCGCGGTCGCAACAACACGTCGCCCACGCTCAATCAGAGGCTTCCTCCTGCCGTCTTCCCCAAGCGTCCGAGGGACAACCCGGAACGCGTCCTCGACACTTTTCCTTCGCCGAAACGTCCCCGATTGACAATCAACCTCTCCTCGTCGCCCCCGTCCCGGAGCCTGCCTCCAAACACCACCTGCCCCAGGCCGACGTCGCGCCCCCGAACAGGCCCCCGAGACAGCGCTCAGCCCGCCCCAATTCCCGACGCCTCCGCCGCGATTTTTGTGCCGCCGCAGCAAGCGCTCCCGACCCCGACCCCCCAAAAGCAACAACAACACCAGCAGCCACCTCCGCACCAGCCCCTAGAACCGCAATTGCAGCAGCAACAAGAGCAGCAGCAGCATCCACTCCCACAACCACCATCGAAAGCCGCGCCCCGCAGTAAACCGGCGGCTGGCTCAAAGGCACCGCCTAAGCCTCGAAACCCAGCCAAACGCGAACTTGGCAGCCTGCGGGTCGACAAGTCAACCCCAAAAGCTGCAGAGGGTCGCAAATTGCGATCACAAGAAGCCACCAGGTTTAAAAGCGATCTTGCCGCCTACTTCCCCGACTACGATGAGGTCATAGGAAACGACCCCAAGCCAGACCGTACGCACTTCTATATATTCCCCCCGTGATTGTCGCTTCGGCCACTGACATTTTCCTCGTCCCCAGACCTGTTGGATGTGACGACGCCAATACTTGTAATAGATCAAGCACCGACTCGGCCCAGCTCTGTTCGTCTACCGCACACCACCCGTGACCACGAACGCATCGGTCCCGACTCATATCCGATTCGAAGTTATGGCGACAACCTATTCACCGAGCTCTGGGAGTCTCAAGAGATTAGTTTCGCGTTCCTCCAGGCCCGCGACCGGAAGGCCGAAGATGTTCGAGACCCGCTCCCTGATTCCTACTTCGAGTTTGCCCACAAGAAAGCCGAGAGGGCCGAGAAGACAATACGGAACTCGGAGAGAGGTCGTGCCCAGCATGAGAAGGAGCAGATCATCAGGCTCTTGGATGGCCTGCAGGGCCCTGACTGGCTGAGGACCATGGGTGTCAGTGGTATCACCGAGGGCAAAAAGAAGGAGTTTGAAGGGCCGAGACGGTATTTCATCAGGGGCTGCGAGGCTATCCTGGAGAAGTTTAGGCAATGGGGCGTCGAAGAGAAGCGCCGAAAGCTCGAGAAGGATCGCGCCCTCGCCGCTGCGGCCCAACTCGAGATCGGTCACGGGCTCCACGAGGCACAAGCCGCAGACGGCGGTCAAGAGGAGAGAAATGAGTCCTCTGGGCTGATTGAGCTGGTAACCGATACGGACGGAGACCCGCCAGACAGCGATGTGGATGCGTCCATCGCGAAGCAGCTCAGTGAAGAAACCAAGGCGCGCTCCAAGGTGGTCGTCAAGAAGCCACCGGTAAAGCGAAGCCGTCGACAACAGGAGCTGGCACCGCCGCCGCCGCCGTCGCCGCCACCACCACCACTGGAAGCGACTCCCCCGAAGCCATTTACGTCATTCTTCGACAAGAAGTATCTGCGCGACGCTGCCCTGAACAAAACCCGGCGTAAGGGTCGGACGGTGCTCGCATGGGGACACACGGTGCCCGACATGGACGAGGCCGACTTTGAGATACCCCCGGAGTTCCTAGACGAGAAGACGATGCGCAGCAACGCGAGGCGCAAGCGCCGGGATAAGAGGGGCAACAGGCGCTGACGCGCGCACGCATGAGGCCAAGTGGCATTGTACTGCCTGGCAAGGCAATATAGAGCTTGCTGCAAGACCTCAGCGGGAACTGGGTGTGCACACACCACTGTAGTTGTAGAGAGCTCGAACACATAGTCACCATGCCCCACTGGAGAGGGCGGTTTTCATGTGTTATCAAGGAGCGGCTTGGGAAAGATGCCGCGATGACATTGTACAGTCATGGTGGCTCGGAGTTTGGTTCAGGGATATCTTCTGGGTCTGTTTTTTTATAGTGTACAAAATGATACCAGACTTTTGCAGGAATTCCTTACATACGTGTAATCGGTAGCTGTCGGTGCTTGAGGCTTGACGAAGGGCTTCTGGGTGGGGTGTCATTGGGGCATTTTGTGCGAGTGAATGGGTCCAGAGACTGAAGAAGGCGAGAGGGGTGCAGCCGCGTGCGCTAGCATGCAAGGGTGTGGCAGCGAGCGTTGGGATTACATAACACCAATCTCCGGGCTTAGGCCGGCCCTTGCACGTCACTCCACGCCAACGGGCCAGACGCGCTTCGTGGCCGACGCTCAGGGCCGCATTTCGGGACAGAGGCTGGCAGCCGACGATGTTTCGTGCGCCCGCAAAGAAACAAACATCGTCTTCGTATCCCGCCACACCACCGCCGCTGCTTGGCGGGCCGTCTCTAATCTGATTAGCGCTTCTCTAATCTATTCATTTTAATACATACCTATTGAACTGGGCAACAACCATCGTTCTTGCGTCACGGCTGCAGTGCGACGTGCATGAAAGTTTGCAGCCGCCCCGTTCGCGGGCGAGCCTGAGAGCTCTTCATAGCTGCCCTTGCTCCTACGACCTCCAACTTGCAAATCTCCCAAGCCGACGGCAAAGTTTTTCTCGCCTCCCGCTCAGCCACCAAGCATTCGACCTTCTACTCGTTCGCGAACCTACCTCCAGAGGCCCGCCTGTCGAGACGACCCTCTTCCGCCCAAGGCACCCGCTGCGAACTTGGCCGGCGATACCAACCTTTGCATCGACTGCAGCCTGCATCACCTTGCGTCCCGATCGATTCTTCCGCGACTGCCCTCGACCTGAAGCGATGCCATTGTGAAGCGCAGGCGACCTAAGGCGCCTGACAGTCATCCAACGCGCTTCGTCCGCCATCCTCGGTGATCGCTCATCTCGCGCCCAAAATGCCAGCCATGACCGGATCAGAGCCCTTGCTCGGGGAACAGAGCCAGGCCGCCGACACATGGCAGCAGTTCGATGTTGTGAACCAGCAAGTCGAGCTAGACATCAACTTTCGCGACAAGGTCGTCAGCGGCGTGGTCAAGATGACGATATTCGCGATGCAGAACGAGATAGAATCCGTACGTATCGATGCGCGCCAGATGGAAATTGACACCAACAACGTTCTTGTGAATGGCAACAAAGTCAAGGCCGTATACCATGACCCGTACGAACGGGTCGACATCCCCGCCAACTTTGACTGGGATGCCTCTCAGTTCCCCTACCAGATGGCCCGCATAGAACCTCTGCTTCCGCGCCAGGACCGCGATGCTCCAGTTTCTGGCCGAGGCATGCTGGGCTGCGCTCCCACAACCGGCTCTCTCGTTGTCAGCCTCCGTCCCGAGCAAGAACGGCATCAACAAGGGGGGCCCAAGAAGGTCAAGATTCTTGTCAACAGGTCGAGCGAGAAGCAGGTGTCTGCCGAGTACAACATAGTGATCCCCTTCCGGACGAGAGGAACGCGTGATGGCTTCCACTTTGTTGGCGTCGACGAAACCGACACGAGGTACCCCCACTTCTACACCATCCACTCGCTGGTACCAGGCCAAGCCTCGTGCATATTCCCCTGCATCGACGACCCGGGGTCGAGGTCTTTCTGGACCGTGCGGGTCAAGACTCCTCGCACACTAGGCGACGCTCTGAGGCAACCGCTCTTGACACAACGATCGTCGAGCAAGAAGGCCACCAACGACGCGGCTCGCTCGACCCTGTCGCTGACAGAAGAGGACAAACTTCTCGACATGACTGTCATCTGTGTTGGGAACCTGGTCGGGGAGGCGACAGACAAGAGCGACGATTCGAAAAAGATTATGACTTTCGACAACTCGGGCCTGGATGTCGCCGCTGGGCATGTGGGATTTGCTGTGGGACCTTTCCAGCACGTTGACCTGTGGTCTGACTTTCGGCCAGAGGACGACGACGAGAAGCTCGGTGATTCTGCCATCAAGATCCACGGCTACTGCCTCCCCGGCCGCGAGGAAGAGGTCAGGTTTACGTGCGAGGCTATGGCTGGAGCTGCCGATTTCTACGCCGTTAAGTTCGGCAAGTACCCTTTCCAGCTTAGCTACAAGATGTGCTTCGTGGACGACATGGTGGCGGACACAGTCCCTCTCTATTCTCTATCCCTGTGCAGCAACCGGCTGCTCTACCCACCTGATGTTATCGACACCGAGGTCGAGGTGACCAGGAAACTGGCTCACGCGCTCGCCTGCCAATACTTTGGCGTTCACATCATCCCAAATACTCCGCTTGACACGTGGATAACCATCGGAGCCTCGCACTTTATGGCCGACATGTTCATGCAAATGCTGTGCGGGAACAACGACTATCGGTTCCGCATGAAGACCCGGGCGGATCGACTGGTGGAGGAAGACGTTGGCAGGCTGCCGCTCGATCAGCTGGGCAACTATCTATCTCTCGGGAGCTACCAGATGGACTTCATGGTCCTCAAGGCACCTCTGGTCCTGTTCATCCTTGACAGGCGGCTGACGAAACGCGCCACACACAACGGGCTGCGGCGAGTTATATATAAGATCATAACTAAGAGCAGGTCTTATGCGGAGGAATCCCGGATCGTTAACTCCGACTCGTTTCGCAAGGCGTGCGAAAAGGTTGCTCACAACAGCTCCTCCCTCGAGCCCTTCTGGCAGCAGTGGGTTCATTCTTCGGGGTGCGCGCGGTTCGAAATGTCACAACGGTACAACAAGAAGCACTCCCGCGTGGACCTGACTGTTAGGCAGCCCGAGGACAAGGGAAGCATCTCTCCGTTGCCGCTGCAGAAGGAGACTTTCTGGGGAGCGCTGCAGGACAGGCTCCATGTGCCAGCCAGCAAAAAAGAAAACGTCAGCGTGTGGTTCACGGGGCCCATCACCATTGGCATTCACGAGGCCAACGGCACCCCGTACGAGCACGTCGCCGAGATACGCAGGACTGGGCCGAAGCAGTTCAAGACCATTGAGATGCCGTACAACACAAAGTACAAGCGCCTAAAACGTGTCAAGAGGCAGAAGGAGCGGGCAGCTGCTACTGCAGCACATGCTGAAGGGGGTGGGGACAACGCTGAAGAGGCCGTGCTCTACTCCCTGGGCGATGTGCTTCAGACGCCCGAAGACGTTGAGTTGTGGCAGTTCGCCGACTGGACTCCGGAACAAGAGAAATCTATGGAACACGATTCGTTCGAGTGGCTCCGCCTCGATGCTGACTTTGAGTGGATCTGCTCAATGAAGACCAACATGCAGCCGTGGATGTACGTCTCCCAGCTGCAACAGGATAGGGACGTGGTCGCTCAACAAGATTCCATTCTATACATGTCACAGAAGGCAGGAGGAGAGATCCTGGCGTCGGTTCTCGGTAGGACGCTCATGGACACCCGGTACTTCCACGGCATCCGCACCCAGGCCGTCAAGGCCCTCCAGAGGCAGACGTGGACCAAGGAAGTGGAGACGTACAACGCGGACACGCGAGTTACTCAAAAGTCCAAAAAGACGGACCTTGGAGGGCTGCGCATCCTCATGATGGCCTTCAAGTCCTTCTTCTGCTACCCCGACACTCAGACGCCTCGGCCAAACGACTTCTCCAACAAGATGCAGTACTTTGTGCAGCAGGCCATTCCCGGAGCCATCGCCCGTGTCCGGGACAAGGGCCGCTGCCCACCAGAGGCCCAGAGGTTCCTTCTAGAGCAGCTGCGGTTCAACAACAACGCCGAGAATGAGTATTCAGACCACTTTTACGTCTCGAGCCTCCTCGATGCCCTCGCTACCAGCCTCGTGCCCGACACCGAGAGCCCTCCTCTTCCTCTTCGAGCCAACGATCCCCAGATCCAGGAAGACAAGGCATTCCTGGAAGAGGCCTTGATGGAGATTGAGCGCTACCTTAGGATGGATGAGTGGACAAACTCGTACCAAAACATCTGGACCACGACGGCCCTGGGATGCAAGCAGAAGCTCATGAAGGCTGGTGTAATTCCCATCTCGGCCATCGACTTTGTTCAGTATCTCCAGGATGGGACCCTGGACCTGATCCAGATCAAGGCGTTCGAGGCCCTGGTGGACCTAGGATTCCTTCTCCACAAGGGCGTGGTCCGCCTCCTGCTTGCCTTCATGACGACTCACCACTCCCCGTTTGTGCGCGACCGCCTCTTCCAGGTGTTCTCGTGGGGCGTGGCCGCGCTGGCTTTTGGCGAGTATGAAGACATCAAGAAGCTGGGCGTTAGCCCCGCGGGCGATGACGATCAGGACGACGATGTCCTTATGATGGAGAACGCCGACGCGATCATCGAGAAGAAGAAGGGCGAGGAGGCCCGGAGATCCAACATCGACAGGGCGCTGGCCGAGTTGAAGAAAGAATTCGCCAAGGCCGAGAGCCAGGATCTCCTGGTCGAGCTGTGGAATGCGATCTGCTCGCCCGTCATCGGACTGATCGAACAGTACAACTTGCTCGACATGTGCAGGACGCTCTTTGACGCGGACTATTCTTGCCGCGTCACTGTGCGACATCCGACACAGTGGTCGGTGGGACGTGCAGACGGAGTCAAGCCCGGATCGCGCCTCGAATTCAAAGCCATCTACCGTGAAATAAAAAAACGACCCGAGTTGGCGCCAGCACCACCCGCAACAGCTTCCGCAGCCCCTGTGGGAGCTCTCCCCGGCCTGGCGGCGGTGGCGTTACCGTCGAAGGCGGCGGCGTCGCCCACGGTCATCAGGGCGCCGGAGCCGAGTGTGGCCACCCCTATGGAAGGCATCGTCCATACGCCTGCGCAACCGAAACCCGCCCTCGTGCAGAAGAAGTCCGGTGTCAAGATCAAGTTGCCCCGACCTCGAGAGGTGCCCCAGCTGTCCACCTTGGCATCTCCATCGATCAAGACCGAGGCTTCGTCTGCCCAGGTTCCGCCCGCCTTGGCACACAAGAAGGAGAAGGAGTCGAGCGCTTTGATCCCTAAGAAGAAGGACCCGGCCATTTCAACCCTTAAGAAGGAGAAGGAGTTGGCCGCTTCTGTCCACAAGAGGGAGAAGGAGCCGCCCGCTTCTGTGCGCAAGGAAAAGGAGTTGCCTGCTTTAGCGTTCAAGAAGGAGAAGGAGACGAGCTCCCGCGCAGGGACACCCCTTCCATCGCACGCCGATGGATCCCGCACTCCCCTCTCCTCTGGCAGCAGCGCTAGCACCAACGGAGCGCTCAAGAAGACGAAGCCGAGCATCAAGCGGAAGCATGACGATGCTGACAGCGAGTCACCGCGGCCGACGAAAACTCCGAGGCGCATCCTGACATTCCCCCGCATCCCCAATTACATGGCCAGGTTGCGGCCGGATACGCAAAAGGAGATTCAAAAGCGGCTGACGCTGGAAGCCGTACGGAAGATGAAGGCTTCAAGCTCGGCTTCATTCAGCCGTCCTTCTTCGCCGGTCGAGAAGTCGGCCAGAGCGACGCCCCCGCAACGGAAGCCGCTGCCATCGGGCGGCGGCTCTGCCTCGAGCCAGTCCTCCTCGGCGGCGCGACAGCACGGCTCCAACGGGTCTCAGAAGGTGCGGAAGCCGCTACCGTCAGGGGCGCCCGCCGGTACACCGCCATCAGTGCTGCCACCACTGGCGCCTCAACACACGGCGCCCAGTCCTGCATCGCCGTCTGTTGCCACCCCTACGGTGGCAAAGCCGAGGATCAAGCTAAAAGTGAGCAGACCGAAACCTTGAAATGGCTAGATCAAGCGTGTCGGGTATGACTAGGGAGCTCCTGTAAGGCGCCGGGGTGCTTGTTTGTATAACGGGGTATCGGTCCAAACGGACTTGGTTTTCAAAGCCTCATCTTCTTTTTTCTTCTTTCTTCGGTTTATGCACCACTCGGGACCGTTCTTGTTCCTTGACATCGAGTTGATGAGTAAAAGGTGGGAGGCAGGAGTGGTTGGCTTTGCTCTAATGCGTAGGCGGGATAGGCATGCATGGGAATGGCGTGAGCGGTTTCTTTCGAGGCACCAGAAAGGAGAACGACATGCCCAAATTTGACGGTGCCCTGAGTTCTCAACATCATTATTTTACCATTACCCTCCTGCTTGTACATACCAATCACAACTACCATGTACTACCTGTATGTCCGTAATATGAGAACAACGCCGATGCCATTTACCATCCAAGCCATCATTGAAGGAGTCGTGGCCACTATGTGCCGGGTAGGTAGTTATCCAGTCATTACGTCAAAGCTATCACGGTGTCTCCCATCGACACACATGTCGACATGCAAAGTAAACCAAGACGGAGAGAGGTCAGGGACCCTTCCCCATAAACCACCAAACGACGCATCTTCCCCCGCATCCGCCCAACCAAGGAAGGCTCAGCGCCTCCGAGACGCCGCGACGCCTATCCTCTCCTCTCGGCTCCGCGTGACCCGGCTAGGGGCGGCCGGCGGCGCCTCTCCAGGGGCGGCGCTCCCGCCGCGCCTGCTGGGCCCTTCGTCGGCCTCGGGCGCCGCCGCCGCCTGGCCCCTTGCTGGCTGGTACGACGGCGTCGGCGTGGTGGCACCAATACCACCGCCACCGCCACCGCCGCCACCACCGTCCATGGCGGCGGCGGCGGCGGCGGCGGCGGCGCGTTGCTGCTGGCGCTGCTGCTGGCGCAGCATGCGCTCGCGCTCGAGCTGGGCCCTCTGGTAACGGGCCATCTGCTGGCGGGCCGAGTGGCGGGTTTCCTCCTCGTGCGGTTGGGGATGGGGCTGGGGTTGGTGGGGGTCGTCGACGACGTCATCCATGTCCTCGTCGGACGAGAACTGCTCCCGGCTCTGCTGGCGCCGGTGTTGTTGTTGTTGCTGCTGCTGCTGCTGCTGCTGCTGTTGGCGGAGTTGGTGCTGGTGGTGCTGGTGGTGATGACGGCGCAGGGCGGCGGCGGCGGCGAGGGAGCCGTCGTTGCCGTCCTCGTCTTCATCTTCTTCGTCGTCGTCGTCGTCGTCATCATCGTCATACCCGCCGCCGCCGTACCCTGGCGGGTCGCGCGAGCTGGGCGATAGCTGCTGGCGCTGGCGCGGGGCCATCAGGCGGGCGGCGGCCGGGGGTGGGGTGTTTTGGTACTGGTGTTGGTGTTGGTGGTGTTGAGGGTGGGAGGAGTGGTGTTCCTGCTGCTGTTGCTGCTGTTGCTGCTGCTGCTGCTGTTGGGGCGTCGCCTTGAGGACGGTGCGGGCGCCGCCGCCCAGGACCTGGCGCGGGGCGGCCGACGAGGCGGCGGCGGCGGCCATACGGGCGCGTTCCTGCCGGTCCTCGTAGGCGGCGACGTCCTCGGCCGTGATGGATATGACGGTTGGTGCGCGGCGCAGCATGGTTGCTTGGTTGCTTCTTTTTTTTCTTTTTTTCTTTTTTTTCTTTTTAGGGGGGGGTTTGTTTGCACCGTGATTTTCCCAGCCGCACTCGCACTCACACGCAACACGCACTTTTCGATAGGTACCAACTGAGCGGCTTCTGGCGGGCCTGCCCGCCTTCTACACTGCCTGGCTTTGCAATCAATCAATGAAGCTTTGCCCTGTCTCGCTCGGCGTCTGCCTTGTTTGTCACGTGAGGGCTTTGGATTTAGGGTCCAAAAGACGAGTAAAGTCAACCTAGACTCGTGATGGCGTGGCGGCTGTGGAATCGGCAAGACGCGTCTTACTCTGTCGGCGACTGCGGCGTCAATCCACCAAGACATGTAGGCGGCGCCCTTACTAAGTTGGGGGGGATTTCTGTGTGACAACCATGACAACGAGAGGTTGTGGATCCAGGCTCTGCTGTGGAGGCCAGAAAGAGACAGCCCAGCTCCTCACATTGGTTGCCACCCTCGTGCAACTTTTTAACACAACCAACTCGCCGAAGGGTGTCGGGCCAGACAAGCAAAACACACACACATACATACCATAGTATCACGACAGGATGCCCTTTCGCTTATTTATGCCAGCGCCCGAGGCGGCATCTACACATTGACTGGCTGGACGCGACAGGGGGGAGGCAATGTTGGTGGAAATTAAACAATTCGAGCTCGCGTTCCCCCGTTGATACTGATGCGGGCGGCCGGTCTAAACACGAGGCAGAGTCGCTGCGCCTGCCCGATGGGGATTCAGGGTTTGGTGGCACAGAGGAGGAGGACACGGAAATCGAGATGCTGACACGACGACAGCAGACAACAGCAGATGTGATCATGTTGATCATGTCGGGGATGGAGTCAAGTGCAATCTAGTGCAGTCTAGCGCAGTCTGGTGCTGCAAACAAACAGCCCTGACTGACGGGGCTTTGTCTGGACGGCTGCTTCCATCTCAGTCACCAATTGGCAGTGTGCCAGTCTGGTCGCTGTTGCTGATTGAAAACGGCAGGAAGACTGACTGGGCAGGCAGGTGTCTTGGACTGGACTCGTGGTGGAGATGAGTTGAGGCGGACGGCACAGCTCCCCGCCTTGTGCTGCCAATAGCAATCACATATAGCAATCACAGCTAGCACCAGACACAGGCACAGGCACAGCCAGGGCCGAGGCCGAGGATTGCACGATTGCGCCGTGTTGGTGCAGACACCAACGAAGGCGGAGGCGACACAGGCAGCCAGCCGATGTGCAGTTCAAGCCCTGGATCTGGCAGACTGCAGGTGCGACGCCACGCTGCTCGACCACGCTGCTCGACCTCGCACAGCTGGAGCTGGAAGCAATCAATACTCGCGCTCTTGTAGAGGATATTCCAGTCGACATTTACAACCGACCGACCGCCTATTTTGGAACCAAGTCCGCCTTGGAACCACGCATCTGGGACCACACACGCGCCGCCCTGCAACTGTTGCTGGCGGCTATCGTCGTCTACTGTGCTCACCAGGAGCGCTAGCAACGGCGAGGGACCATCGCGATGCAACGCTGCTCTGCCAAAAACAAAACCTGCGCCGCGGGTAAACAACCCTGGCCGACTCCAAGAATGAAGGAAGAAAAAGAAAAAAAAAAACCAGCTCGCAATAGCAGAAAGCGAGGCCACCAAGGCCAACCAGAGGCCTCGGTTGGCATGCATGCAACCCTCCCTCGCGCCAATCGGCTGACAGCAGCACCGCAAAATAGCGTCGCTGGCACGCGGGCTCTTTATACAATCCACCTTCCTGACTGTCGCTGCGCGGGACCCACAGACGTGCGATAAAAATATCCAGCCCTCCCCTCCTCTTGATCCGGATCCTGCCTCGATCCCAAGCCTTCCACCTTGATCCACTACCGGCCCGCCCCCTGTTGCTCCCGATACGGAAAGCCCCCTCGTTCGTCATGGCCCCTCCTTAGTCTGACAGCCTGCCACCTCCGCGGCCGTTGATGCCACGGCAATAGCGCATGGAGACGAGAGGGAGGGTGTCGGCCTGGTGTCGGCCCTCATGGCCCAGTTAGGCAACTTAACTCAAGCTAGACTAGATCTTGGGCGGTCCCGACCATCCCGCATCCATCTAGGCCCAAGCCCACACGCTCCTCGGCACTCTGCCGCGTCCAGACTCGTCATCCTCCTGGTCGCCCCCGATACGCTCCCCACCCTTCGCTCACCATGCAGCTAAACCTCGCCGATGCTACCTCACGCGCAAAGATGGGTGGGTATCTTACGCACAGAATACCATGTACGCGACCTGCTGCATGCCTGCTGGGCTGAGGTACGGAGTTAGGCAGACGAGCTCCTCCAGCCTCCATGCTAGACGTCAAGTTACCTGGCTCCCCCGGCCGCCCTCCACAACATGGGCTCGCTCGAGAGGGTGGGTGCGGCCGGATGACCTTGTTGCAATATATCTGTGCCACCACCGGTCAATCCCATCGACCCTCCCACACGAGTGTTCGAACGTGTAATCGCTCCCCCCAGTAAAAGAGGCCCAGCCCGCCTCGCTCAGCTCTTTTGCTGTGTCGCGCATCTGGTCTCACCCGACTGAGCCACCAAGCCAACCCCCCTATTGCCCCTGTCGGTCTTCATTTTCCTCCGCCCCCGTCTGTACTACGCGCGCTCCCGCTATGTAACAGGCGATCGGTCTTGCCATCCGTCGCCTGTTTCGTTTATCATTGCTTCTTTCCCGGCCGCCTCATCCTCCTTGTCTCGCGTTTGGCCCCCCTCTTCCCCCATCGGCCGCCGCAAAAGTGTCTCTCTTTGGATCCGCCCAAAGCGCCATCTCCGACCATGAACTCCCGACCCGGCTTCAGCATCCGTAGGCTCATCTCCCAGCGCCGGCCCCGCGGCGCTGAGGACGGATGTGGCGACTCGGCCCACGAGGCCTTTGTCCGGCCCTCAAAGGACGACCTAGCCAGGCCCAGCAGTCAGCACGGCCAACCAGCCCGGACGTGGAAGAGGTCAAAGAACCCACCTCAGCCCATCGTCGTGGTCTCGGGGTCCAGGGCGGTCCACACGATCACGGGCCCTTTGCCTCCGCTGCCCGATACTCCACGTTCGGCCGCCAGTTCTTTGTGCAGCTGTGACTATCGGGCTTCGCCTTGGACGCCTGCCAGCTCGACGCCACCGCCTCTTTGTTACAGCCGCTCAAAGACGCCTGACACTTTGTCTCCCCTGCTGTCTCCACGCACCGCGAAGCTGGACGAAATGGGTCTGCTCCTACAAGACACCACCGACTCTTCGATCCCTTTGGTTCTGGCTCAGACCTTGTCACCGGTTTTAGACAAGACCAAGTGTAAAGACAGCCAACAAAACTACACCGCAGGCCACCAACAAGCCGTCGAAGACATGTCGGAAAACGTAAGGCAACTGATCCGGGAGACGGACGAGGCCTTCAAGGCCGTAGGAGCCGTCCTCTCGGAAGCAAGATTGGTTTCGCAGCAGTCTTCTTCCCCCGCGACCTCGCCGCACCTGGCTCGCGACTCCAAGTTTGCCATGGCCTTGGCGCAATCTCCGCGATGGCCGGGCTACCGCGCCGGGCCGAGGAGTCCACTAAAGCTCGCATCGCCTCTGACGTCTCCAACGAGAAGGTCATCGGTCTCCAAGGCCAAGCGGAGAAAGTCGAAGAAGGGGAGGCGGGGTCAGCAGCAGCAGGAACAGCAGGAGAACAAGCGGCAGCATGCCGCGACCCCAAAGACGGGCGCACGGTGGACTTTGAGCGAGAATATGTCGGAGCTCCTCAACGGCCGCCTCTTCCACCGCCTCGAGGCGGACGAGATCCAGACGCCGGATCAGGTGCAGGAGTGGAGGCTGAAGAACAGGCCGTCGCGGCCAGAGGTCCGGACGCATACTGAGTCCATCCGGACGCATACTGAGTCCATCCGAACGCCTACTGAGTCCATCCGGACGCCTACCGAGCCCATCCGGACCGTGGAGATGGATGGGAGTGAGACGCCCATCGAGCCCTTCCACCTGGACGACCTCCCGTCTAGGATCGGCGCCGCCGGTGTGCGCATGTCCATGACCCCCTCGCCTACAGTCGAGGTGGCCATTTCAAACACATTCGACTTTGGGCTTGATGTAGCCCGCAAAGACTCAACAGCAAGTGAGCAGCAGCAGTCGCTGCCAAGGTTGCAAGAGCCGACAAAGGCCGAGGAGATGCTGTTCCGGGACATCTCCTTTCCTACACCGCCGCAGAAGAACGCCCTGCGTCAGCAGCCACGTCGACAGCTGCCGCCCCTGCCCACGATCCCCGAGGTCATGGTCGCGGGCCCAGACGGGACCCTGAAGAGGGACCAGCAACCGCAGCAACTCGGAATCCAGTCACAGGCAGCCACGGTACAGCAGATGCAGGAAATGCGGCAAGCCAAGGTCACAGACGAGTTTGTCATGCTCAACTGCAGTCCCTACACGATGACGATGCCCACCTTCCGCCACGGGCCCATCCGCTTCGCAAGGAGCGAACTCAACGTTCTCGACCCCAAGCAGCTGGCCGACGAGACACTCGACTGGACCGCCTTCCAGATGGCCATCCTCGGCGGCGCGGGCGACTTTTTCTCGGACAGCATCGACTTCACCCGCATGGCGGACGCCGATGAAGTCGACGAGATTGCGGGCTGGTTTGATGGTCTCGGCGTCGGTAGCGTTGGCCACCTGGTCAGCTCCGAGGAGGAAGAGAAGGACTACAGTCACGACGCAGAGATCAAGGTCCACCATGCAAGGCACACGAACATTGGTGAGCAAGCGCAATCTGAGGGCGAGGAGGATGGAGGAGAAGACGATGACGACGACGCCACAGAGCGGGCCGGCTCGGTCGGGGAGCGGAGGAGCGTGCCGCCGGCGCTGGACACGGAGCTGGCGTCCAAGTGCCCTCCGAGCCCCACGGGCACGGCCGAGTACTCGCCCATCTCGTCGACTGGCAGCTCTAGCGCGTCCACGCAGCCCGAGATGGTGCAGATTCACCGCGGCCCGCCGCCGATCCCGCTGGTGCTGGAGCGGCCGCCGGGGCTCTGGAACCCAAAGTTTGAGCTTACGGGCCAGGGCGTCGGGCGCTGGGTGCTCGAGTCGTCACAGTTGGTGCACGGGCCTGCCGATGCCGACGGGCTGCTGCGCCCGGGCAAGGGGCGGGTGGGGAGCCGCGAGAGCCTGCCGCAGAGTCCCATGCTGGACCTCGTCGTCGGCCGCAGCGTCACGGGCGAGGACTACATTGTGCCCATGGGCTTCAACCTCGGGCACGATCTGGGAGACTTTCTCAAATGGGAGTCGGAGAACGCGTATGCTGCTGGCTTCTACGGCTGAGCGTATGCGGTAGCATTACTATATTTTATTTTATTTTCGTCACGTTTCCTTCCTGTTTCTTGATACCTATCCCATTTTACTCCAGCGCTCTCCTTTATTCCATAGCCTCTTTTTTTTATTTTATCTTTCCTTTATCTAGATACCTACTCTAGGGCGTTCAAACATATCATGGTTTACTAGCATCATCGAGACGCCATCTACAACGGCGCTTGTACAGGATAGCGTGGGACTTGGGTGGGAAATGCATAGCTCTCTGGTTAGATGGATTTAGAAAGGACCCGGGAATAAAACTGGCACGCTCATTTTTTCGATCGGTAACGTCTTTAACTCCGATGAGATCCCTCATAACAATTCGTGTTTGACAGAATCCCCTCCAACTTGAACCGCGACAACTGCCGGAGTAAGCAGGGGGGAAAAAATGGCTGGATGCATGCGTGCTTATGTGCCTTCTCACGCGCGGGTCCTAGCATCGAAATGGAATCCCCCATGAAGCAGGTTTTGCTAGAATAGCCGAACTGATGGATCCCGCCTTCACTCCCCTTCCAAAATCCCTCAATCCGCATTCACCCCCTTCAGCCGCCCTCGGGAGCCGTTGCCGGGCGATATTGGGGATTTTTTTCAAGGGGGTGGGAGGCTGTGACCCAGTCGCGCGGATCTTGGTATATGAAGACACACACACACACACACACACAATTGCGGCTCAGCAGAGTAGGTTTACCCGGCAGGATCCTTTGCTTTGCACGAGGGAAGTCGACCGGGCAGCTTGGGTAGTTGGGCTGTGAGGAAGACTCCTTCTCTGTGCATGGTGCTTTGCGCAAGTTCAAGGATAAGGGGGTACCGGACAGAAAAAGAAGCAACGTCAAGGATCGCCATATCACCCATCACTGTATAGGTAGGTTAGGTAGGCGGGCACCAACTG